CCATGGGCTGTTTGATGGCGATATAATATCCGCAGCCAACATGTCTTCCACTGCCCCCCGAACGTGTTCTCGCTCGGCGGGACTCATTCGGTGCGAATTCAACCGAATAGGGGCAGCGTCGCCTGTATCAATGTGATGGTGAAGCAACGAGGTGCGTCCCAAATCCAAATCATTGGAGCTGAACACATCCGAATACGTCAATAACAATTTGTGAAGCGCACCCCGTTGATCCACAGACAGGGAAGAATTTCCGTCACATAAGCTAGCAATCCAGCGATCATCCGAAGCCACAGGCTCGGAAACACCAGCAACCACTTCCTGGCTATGCGAACAATCGTGAGCCGTAAATGCCGTGGTGGCATGTGCCACAACCGTGCCGGCCGGGACGCAAACATTTTCAGTACCCGCATTGAGCACCTGCAAAAACGGTAATTGATCTGGCCGGACGATGGTCTGCGCCCCAACCAGCGCCAACCCGGCCGTTATCGAGGCTGAAGGTGACAACAAGATCCCAACCGCTCCTAGCTGACTAGGCAGGGGCTTCCGATACCGCAGGGGAATAAGCATCTGTGAACCAGGTGGAATGTCAACAGATGCCACGGATAGCGCCTGCACTTGTACGGCCGAAGCAGGTCGCCCCCAGGGCGACGGCAGAAACGAAATTTGACGGCCACCCGGCAGTTCAATACAATTCTCATTAATTTTGATCAAAATAGGCATCTTAGCCAGGAAATCAGTGCCCAATAAACAAGGAACTGCCAAGGATCTTGAAATCAACACAACGCTCGAGGCCGACACATCCCCGATAGATATTTTAGCGTCCACCTGGCCCACGATGCCCATACTACCCCCGTTCGCAGCGACGCACGACCCGTAAACCGGACGCACGGCCCCGGGTGGGATGCCTAACAGATGAAAAATGACATCCGAAATAATAGTCGCGGACGCCCCGGAATCGACCAAAATGCGCACGTCCACCCCTTGTATAGACCCCGGCACGGTGGACGAACCCGTAGCGGCCGCGACAACCCTCCGTGCCAATTTGCGCCACTGCGTCACAGAGCGACAAGGCCCCGTCGAAGGTCTCTCTTTAGCAACAACACTATGACCGCACAACGAAGGTGATGGGTGAGGTGTAAAGCCTTGCCGGGTGTCTGGTGCGTGCCGACTTGCCTGGTTCGGTGGTTCCTTGGTCGGCTTGGCCGGTGATGAGGCCTCCTGTTGTGGCGGACCCGGGATGCGGGCCCAGCAGTCCTTCGCGTAGTGGCCCCTCCGTCCGCAGCGGAAACAATCGGCGTCGTTGCGCCGAAGCGCAGGCCTTGCATCGCGCCGGCCTCGTATCGGTGGTGCAGCACGAGAGGCCGGTCCACCGCGGCTTGACCATGGCCCCGAGGCGGCCGTCAGCTCCTGAGGGCCCCCCCCATCCGGCACGCATACCGACTTCGTAGGGTCCCAACCCAGAGTGCCACCCTCTGCGACGGGCCCCCCTGTCCACGCCGCGACTTGTTTCCATCGTCGTAGGTTGAATTGTGCATCCAGACATTTCGCCGCCGCCCGGGAGGTGAGCTTCTCATGCCCGCACACCGGCATGGGAATCCCAAGATCCCGCGACAGCTCGAGCATCTTGCCCAAGATGAGAGGCTCGAGCAGGTCAGGTGTTGTATCTGGATACGCGGCCATAGCCAAATCAAGCACTGCACCCCTGTACGCCACAGGCGACTCCTCGGGCGCTCGTTGTCGTTGAGCGAATCGCCGATGCGCGTCGTCAGGTGGCTCGTAGGCGTCGGCCATTTCTTGAAAAACTCCGTATAATGTCCTCTTCTTCTCGGCCTTAATGGAGCGAAACAAACGAACAGATTCGTCGTCCAGAAGAGTCGGCAACACTTCTAAGGCCTCAGCATCGGTCCATCTCGCAGAACGGACCGCCGCCAAAAATCTGCAGGCGAAAGCGCTCCAGTCGCCCCCAATGGCGAATTCTTTGACCGTGGTGAGATGGCGACTCCGACTTCGCTTTACTCCGCCCTCCGCCGATGGCTCCTCCGGTGGCAAATTCAAAATGGCGTCGAACCGCGGCGTGGTCAAGATGGCGGTTTCCCGCCGCAGAACGCGCAAGATGGCGGCCTCCTGCCGCGTGGCCGATGGCGCCGGGAGTGAAGATACCGTGGCGGCCTGTGGAGCACTCTCCGCTCTCTCCGTCGCCGTCCTTGGGGTGACGAGATGACACAATTGGCCCAGGACGTCCTTGAGAGTCTCCAGTTGCTCCGCCACCTGCAGCCATCGCAGATCAGCGTCTGATGTTGTCGGCGGCCCTGACACTGCGGCTACATCTTCAACTCCCGTCCCCGCACTCGTTTCAGCAGGGCTCTCCTCCACCACCCCGGCAGGATCCATGTTTGGAGGGAAGTCTTCGTCTTCGGACGAAGAAGCCGATGCTGGCGCTGGAACATTTTTCTTTCTCACTTGTTTCGACATGCCGTTGCACTTCCGACACCAATGTAATAAAGGACTCGACCACGAAGTCTGGCTTGGTGTCCTTTATTCGGTTCTTCCTCGTAACCCACACGGCTGTCCTTCTATAAGACTTCTATACCGACACTGATACTGCTGTTAACCCCGTCACGCCAACAGTTCCTCTGTTGGTCTCCTGTTGTTCTCGTAGCCTTGCTGGCTGTTACCCTCACGCAGCCCCCACTGGCTGCTCTCCTGCAGTTTCTCCTCTCGTCGCTCTCGCAGCCTCTCTCTCCTCTCGTCGCTCTCGTAGCCTCTCCCACACACAGCCTCGCCGGCTGTGTTCACTGCAGCTCCTCGACCGCCTTCTCTCCAGCAGCCCCACCGCTGTCTTCTCTCGCAGCTCCGCTGGCTGCTCCCTTAGCTGGCCACCGCTGGCCGCCCGTGCCACTCCTCCTGGCTTCGCCCAACGTGGCCTTACTCTGGTCCAGTCTCACTCTCTCCCCCCTCCTCTTCCGGTCTCATCTCTTAAGAACCTTAACCTTGCTCCCACGTCACCTAACTCCACCTCTCCGTGACGTCACATCCGGGAGGTCGCCCGCGCCCGCATTACATCTATGAAAAGGTTTGCCAAACTGTGAATGGTTTGGAGCTGAACTGGGCTAAACTAGCCTGTGTGACAACTGATGGTGCTCCTAGCATGGTGGGGTCTAAGAAAGGAGTAATTGCTCGCATTAACCAAGAGATGGACAAACATAACCATTCTCATCCAATAGCCATACACTGCCTCATCCACCAACACGCGCTGTGTAGTAAATCACTGAAGTGGGACTCTGTTATGAAAATTGTGGTATCTTGTGTTAACTTCATTAGAGCTCATGCACTAAACCACAGACAATTTCAGGAATTTCTGTCTGAGCTAAATGTTGACTATGAAGATGTTCTGTACCACACAGAAGTCCGTTGGCTGAGTCGAGGGAGAGTTTTGAAACGTTTCTATGACTTACTTCCACAGATTACAGCTTTTCTGCTTTCAAAAAACAAAGAAGTACCAGAGCTCAATGATGCAGAATGGAAATGGCACCTTGCCTTTATGACAGATGTAACAGAGCTACTCAACAGTTTCAATGTGCAACTTCAAGAAAAGGGGAAGCTCATCTGTGATATGCAATCACATGTCAAAGCATTTGAAGTAAAATTAGGCCTCCTCATCAAACAAGTGAAGGAGGAAAACTTCTGCCATCTCCCCACAACTCAAAATCTGTTAGCAGAAAAACCATTGGTTGCATTCCCAAACAAAACATGTGTGGATTCATTGGAAAAATTGCAAAAGGAGTTCCAATTTAGATTTAAAGAGCTTCATCTCCATGAACAGGACATACAGCTTTTCCGTAACCCATTTTCTATTGACATTGAAAATGTGGATACAATTTACCAAATGGAACTGGCTGAACTGCAGAATTGTGACTCTCTGAAAGACGCATTCAAGTCAAGCAGCCTTCATAATTTCTATGCATCTCTCCCCTCTGAGACATATCCTCATCTCAGGAACCATGCACTCAAAATGGCAACCATCTTTGGCAGCACTTATGTCTGTGAACAGACTTGTACCAGAATGAAACATTTGAAATCTCCAACCAGATCTAGACTTTAACGGATACACACTTGCATCACTTGTTACGACTAGCAGTGACAAATATGGAACTGGACATTGACCATCTCATTAGCCAAAAGCAGGCCCATAGTTCCCATTGAAATACTGGAAAGTTTGTTGATTTAACTTTACTTGTTCTTCATTTTCAATATTGTATTTGTTCCCGTTTTGTTTCTTCACTTCAAAATAAGATATATGCAGTGTGCATAGGAATTTGTTCATAGTTTTTTTAACTATAGTCCGGCCCTCCAACGGTCTGAGGGACAGTGAACTGGCCCCCTGTTTAAAAAGTTTGAGGACCCCTGATTTAGAGTATTCGACTCCTGCTATACATTTCCACGTGATGACGATAATCCAGTTCGTTGAGCCGTCATTTGTGATAGCCAGGTCACTTCCGAAAAAGAGCTACATAGCTCGGTGGGCCTTACCTGGTAAAATAAAAAATACAAAAAATATACTTCCAAAACCTCACACGACTATCGTCGTATATGCTGAAACAAGCTCTCATCTCTGTGAACAAGGGCAGAATAGATCTCTGTTAGGACAATGCTCAATGAGCTGTCTACCAATGCTGGAATTTGGGTCACAAGCACCACGTTGCAGCTACTGGCTCTTCTCCAGACGGCTTTGGTTGGACAAAAATGTACAAGTCATGGGTGCCAATTTGGATAACAATTCCCAGAGGTGTTTTATGCATGTTCAGAGCCGATCAGGTGTTCCTGCAAAGGACATTGTTTGAACTGTAAATGTGGGAAAGCCAACCTGGATTTTACACCACTTTACAAATGTAAGGAATCTGTCAAAGCAGCCTCGGTGGGCCTTACCTGGTAACAGAAAAAGTTTAGTTTAAGTTTAGAGACTCTTGGCCAGGGGCCAGCTGTCCCCCAGCAGGCCACACCTGGGCGGGGGGACGGCGCTCGTGAACGACAGCACGAGGCTGCGCGAGTGCAGGAGGCCCTGCATGTCGGCCGCCACCGCGTCCAGCTGCGAGGGCAGCACGCACAGGAGCAGCAGGGGTGGCCGGGACGAGGCCGCGAGGGCGTTGTCGTAGCAGCAGTGCACGCCGCGCGCTCCCAGATCTCCTGTGTGGACGCCACAGCCCCACGGCAGCTGCTACGTCAAGAGAACCGAGGTCGCTAAACCCTGGCATTACGTTCGCACCCCACGGTTCCGCCAGGGCCGTGTCGTTTTGTGATGCCACGAAAAAAGACATGAAAATCGGATGTATCCCAAAAGCATGGCGGGAGGCCAGGGGCCCAACTATGGGGGGTTCGGGGGGGGGGGCTATGTGGCAGTGTTACGCAACGCAGAGGGGCCCAGTCAGCAACGAGGGGGCCCTGAATCAACAGATAAACAAATACAAACGTTAAGAAAAATTTATACGAAATTTTCTGCAGTCTACCATGGACCAAGCCCGATTAACGGCGTCTGGCTATTATATCAATAGAACAGCATAATTTGCGCGATCCACCCCCTTTGAGGACATCTTAGACCCATGGGCCGACATGAAAGCAAGACGCATGATACCTTAATTGTGAGTAGTATTGTATCATTGGTGATCACGAGGTCGCTTTTGAAAAAGAGCTAAATAGCTCAGTGAGGAGCCCTGGAGCGCCTGTGATGGAGTTGCTCATGGTTGAGATTCTCACTGAGCAGGTGTGGGCGGCGCGTGGACACGAGCAGCTGCGTGGGGTCCAGACAACCCTCGTCCAGGAGGGCCCGGGCCAGCACGCGGCCCAAGCGACCGCAGCCCAAGATGGACACCAGGGGCCCGGGGTTCGAAGAGGGGGCACTCCCCTTCACGTGGCTCCCGGGCACGGCCCTAGTCACGGGAAGCCACAGGGCAGAGGTGCCGTCAATACGCTCACTGACCGCCCTGGTTTCCACTCACCTTTGCATTTCATAATAATGATAACAACGGAGTACATAAGAGGTTTATTTTTATTTTTTGGTTTAGATCGCGTAAACATCTCAATGTTATTTATTTTATTATTATCTTTCTATCTACGTGACTTTACTGAAAGACCCAAAGAGTATGAATTCCTGCAGTCACTAAAGCTTTAATTCAAGATGTTAAAACACCAAACTGAAATCTTTTACAAGGAATCATGTCTGTATTAACCACAATACTTGTGGTCAGAATGCAAACGTGTCGTTAAAACCCACCACCACCCGACACAGCCAACTAGTCAGGGTTGTCACGTAAACAGAACAATGCCAATTCGTCACGAGTACAGCAACACCGGTGTGTTGGAGAGCAAAGCCACAACATTTACAATCTGTTTCGATTTAAAGCTTTCGTGACTGCAGAGATTCATCTTCTTGGTTCTTTCGGTAAAGTCACGTAGAAGGGAAATAATAAAATAATAATTGTTTTTTATTATGTTTTATTATTAATTTCCCTTCTACGTGACTTTACCAGGCGACAGCCAGATTTGTGAAGAAGTCAACCTGTTTCGTTCCTTTCTAGAGGCGTAGATGTGGTGACCATACTTCTGCGCTCTTGCGCAAAGTGGGGGGGGGGGGGGGGGGGATTAATGAGCCAACGTACATTATGCATGTGCATTATGCGAGCCCTTTGATCTTGTCCTTCCTGTCCATTGTGTGTATTAAAATAGCCGCACCAACAGTAATCCCTATTGAAGTATGGTGGCCTGTATAGGAATGCATTTAAACAATGTAGTATTTGATTATTTGCTTCCACGCAGCACTAAGTCGGTAGCTATCTGAACGGTTAAAATTATTTGTATTTATTTAAATTTCGATATATTCTCTAATTAGTCTTGGCCAGTAGTAGCTAGTTTTGCACAGCTTCAACATTATCAAAATCAATTGAGTGTCCTTGTTGGCACGCGTGTTCTGCTACTGCTCTCTGATGTTCTTTTAGTCTCGTGCTGATCATTCGTCTTGTTTGCCCAATATAGCATTTGTCACAAGTGCAGTACCAGATATTAATTTCTGTATTTTATGTACCGTGCCAAATCTAACTTGGATGTTTTGTTTTTCCAAACATTTGGCTAGTTTATCAATTACTCCCGCAATGTACGGTATTTTGATCGTTTTAATTACAGTTTCAATGCTCGTGTTATTTGATTTGGTTTTGGCATTCAATGCCCTGTTAATTTGTGCATCATTGTAACCGTTCATTTTCAGCACCTCTTTAACATGTTGAATTTCACTTCTCAGACTGTCACCATCTGACACTTTCTTAGCTCGATGAATGGCCGTCTTGATAAGAGCAGATTTCTGTGTGGGGTGATGGTGTGACTCTGCATTCAGATAGGCGTCAGTATGCGTTTTCTTTCGGTAAATACTGTTTTAAAAATGTTTTTGTTTTAAACCTTTATTATGGATTGTATTGGTCGCGAAAGCCTACGTGTTAAACTAAAGGAGTACATGTTGTATTCGCTCTGTTGCAATCCCAACTGAGTAACATGATGCCAGCACACAATGGCCTAAATAAAGATCGACAGGGGATCTTTATGATCCACTGTGAAGCAGACGTAAAGTACGTACCATTCAAATGTGAAACCTTGCAACAGAAGACCTGGTTCTTTTCTTTGCATTTTGCCTAAAGTAAGAACGTAGCTGTATGGAATGATAGTGGATCTTCAACACGTCCTTATGTTTAACATATTTGCATTCGTGCCATGTCACGGTGGTGAGATGTTAACGACCTCGCCTGGTTGAGGGAAGTTGTGGGTTTGATCTCGATCCTGATGCCTGTATATTTGGAGTTTGAATATTTTCCGCATGGTCGCGTGGAATTTTCTCCGGGACCTCTGGTTTTCCCCCCTCCACATTTAGAGACAGACAGACACACTTGTAGGTGAGAGATGTTAAAATATGGAGGGATTATCCAGCTAAAATATATATTTTTTAAAGTCTTCTATCCAACTGTGTTCTCTGCCAATGAGGTGCAGAATTGAGTTCAGTAAGGTCACCGATGAGCAGACATGCAGGACATTGCCGTTGTTTGCTGATGTAAATGTAACTGCCGCACTTTGTGTTGTTTCACTTGCGCATCGTGCCGATCCCCCCAGGTCTTGTTACAAATGTGGCCATAACCGCACGAGTAGCGAGAGGCTCGCATGCCGAGATGTCGGCACCCCGGTGTGAGTCGGGGTTTTGACCGCACGTGCACACGGCGCACGAGGTGCTGATGCTCACGTGCGCTCGATGGACCCCAGCGTCCGGCTGAGCCACGCGGCCAGGCGCCCGGCGGCCACGCAGAGGGCAGCGGCGTGGCCCTGCAGCCTGCGGGCCTCCCCGGGGGCCTCCCCGTCCCCTTCTGCGGTCCCCGCGGCCGCCTCCCAGCCCAGACCCGCGAGGCCAGATGTGACGTCTTCCTCGGCGTCGCCTGGGCTTGACATCGCGATGACCTCAGCTCAGGAATTCCCCGTGCTGCTGTCCACCCTGCAGTGCTTCTGCACACACAAAGACAAATACATTTACACGTGATTTGGCTGCTATACATTTCCACGTGATAAGCCACTTCATCGAGCTATCATCTGTGATAGCCAGGTTGCTTCTGATAACAAAAAAAAGCTAATAGCTCAGTGGGCCTTACGTAGTAAGATGAAAATTGTTTAGTTTTAGTTGCATTTATTAAAGTCATTTTTTTAAATTTGCACTCCTATCGTGCTTTTGTATTGTTTGTTGTTGTAACGCTCTGACCTGCCCCGACTGGACATCTGTGAGAAAGAGCTTTGCAGCTCATCGGATTCCTCCTGCAGTATATAAATACATATTCTGATTCTGACAAAGATGCCCCCTATAGCCATAACATACTTTTGGGGTAAGTGCTGTTAGCGAATCAACATCACGTGACTCCAGTGTGTGTATGGTGTGTAGACACGAGTGACCAGTGTAGGGTTTGTAGACACTAGTGACGGTCACCGGTTCGATCTCCCGGCGCGGCTGACGACTTTGAGAGCGCGGCGCGAGTTGAGCCCCCGTCACCCGCACGGCACCTGACAGGGCCAGCAACGTTCCCGACGGCCACGTCTGAGTGGCGGGTCGCGAGCGGAGAGGTCAAGCGCGTGGGGGCGTCAAAACTCGTGTGGTCCAACGTGCAGCAGGGGAAGTGGATAAACCACCACCACAACCTCGACCACCACTATACAACCACTACCACCACAACCACCACAACCTCGTAAACCACCACTACAACCACAACCTCGACCACCACTACCACCACAACCTCGTAAATCACCACTACAACCACTACCACCACAACCTCGACCACCACTACTATCACCACCACAACCACCACTACAACCAACACCACTATCACCACGACAACCACTATCACCACTACAACCACAACCACCACTATCACCACAACCACCACTACAACCACCACCACTACAACCACCACCACCACTATCACCACAACCACCACTACAACCACCACTACAACCACCACCACTATCACCACAACCACCACCGCCCTCTGAGCCCTCGAGCGGCGGCGTGCGGGCGGGCGGGGCGAGTCGCCACGCGGTCGCCTGGCAACGGTGACGCCACGGGCCGTGACCGCCGGCAGGAAGGAGGCCGCTCTTCTCAACACATCCGCCAACAGCAGTGTTGTGTGGCCTCATTATAAAACAAAATAGGCGACGTTTCGGGCAATGGCCCTTCTTCATAGCACACCACACACCACGTGCTGTGATGAACCAAGTGAACGTTGCGGCGACGTTGGTCGAACGGCACGTTTACTGGAAATGGTGACTTCCCGAAACGTCGCATATATTTATGTTTTTAAGGCCACAGTGTTTCGCAAAAACGAATTATATAATTTTTTAAACGGTCGCACGGGTCACAAGGTCCAAGACGCCAAGCTGTCAGCAACACACAGCACGGTGAAAGTTGTAATACTGTGTCATGGAGAGCGTGGGTTCAAGGGACGATGACGACGATGATGGGAGAGGGAATGGCAGTGACCTGGAGTGTGTGGTGAGTGAAGTGGGTGGTTGAATGTGAGAGTGGGTGAGTGAGTGGGTGAGTAGGTGAGTGGGTGGATGAGTGTTTGAGTGGGTGGATGAGTGGGTGAGTTGTTGTGACCAGGTCACTCTGGCAGAGAAGACTCCGCCTTAGCCTCTCGACGTCTCGCCTGGTCGCAGCAACTCGCCTCGAACTCCCCTCGCTGTCCTCCCACTCTCGTTATTGTCAATATCGCTGTTGAACTAAACAAGATGGCGACCCCCTCTAAGGATTCGGACTAAACAAAATGGCGTCACTTAGACGCTGAACAAGATGGCGGCACGCGCCCATCGTTTGAGCTAAGCAAAATGGCGGTGCTCGTACACCGTTTGAACTAAGCAAGATGGCGGTGCTCGTACACCGTTTGAACTAAGCAAGATTGCGGCGCTTGCACAGATTTGTGTGAACTAAACAAGATGGCGACAACCTCCGGACCTCTCTCGCCCTCTAACGTGCTTCGAAAAAGGGCCATTGCCCAAAACGTTGCCCATCATATTCCTTTGGAACCTCATTTGCCAGTAGAAAAATATAATTGTTTTTTTACCCTTTTATCTGGCAACAAAACTGACACCTTTTTTTTACAAGGAGTCATGTTTGTATAGACCACAATACCTGCAGTCGTAATGCAAAAAAAAACATAACTCTGATAATGTATGCACTGTCCTTGACGTTGATTGGTCCACACCCGAGACAGCTTTCCTTAGAGCCTAGTCTCACATGGTGAGACTAGGCTCTAAGGCAAATCAGGTTCCAATGGTGTAAATGCTTACCCCAAGCTCTCATACTCTGATGGTGCATTGTCTTTGAGGTGTGCGCCTTTTGGCGTCATCTGGTCCAACCCCATGTGAGACTAGGCTCTAAGGAAAGCTGTCTCGGGTGTGGACCAATCAACTTCAAGGACAGTGCATACATTATCAGAGTTATGTTTTTTGTTTGCATTACGACTGCAGGTATTGTGGTCTATGCAAACATGACTCCTTATATTTAAAAAAGGTGTCAGTTTTGTTGCCAGATAAAAGGGTAAAAAAACAATTATCATCATATTCCTGATTTATATGACCACAATTGTTGTTACTGACGAACGTGTTGCGTTGTTTTTAAAAATAGTGCTCATGTACCACCGCCAACTCGGTTTCGTGGTGTCAACACCAGATGTAACTCCTATTGACGTCATGTCATCCGCCTGCGTGACGTCTTTCGTGGGGGGTGGATGCATATGACGTCACGCCGCTGTTGACTGCTCGAGCCGAAGGCCGTGGGGCTTGAACCCCAACAACAACAACAACGCCGCCGCCGCCACCAGCAGCATCGCAGAGGAGAGAACAGCGACAGTAACAAACAACCACCGCCGCGACGAGCAGGGCAGAGAACACGGCGGCCACAAGGAGGCGAGGCTTGTGGGGAGCGCAGCCATGCCGTGGTACTTCCCGTGGCCGGACTCGATCAAGAAGCGCGCGTGCCGCTACCTGCTGCAGCTCTACGTGGGCCACCTCCTGGAGGAGAAGCTCACGCTCCAGCAGCTCAGCGTGGACCTCTACGGCGGCACGGGCTCCCTGCGCCACGTCGCGCTCGACGTGTGGGTGCGTGACGCGCGGTGACGGTGCGGTTGGGGGTGAGGGTGGCGGTGAGGGTTACGGGGACTGTGAGGATGGGGTGAGGATTGGGTGAGGTGGGGGTAGGGTGAGGATCAGGCGAGGGTTAGGATGAGGGTGAGGATGACGTGAGGGGAGGGATGGGGTGAGTGTGGGTCTAGGGTGAGTATGAGGATGAGGTGAGTGTGGGTCTAGGGTGAGTATGAGGATGGGGTGAGTGTGGGTCTAGGGTGAGTATGAGGATGGGATGGGGTGAGTGTGGGTCTAGGGTGAGTATGAGGATGGGGTGAGAGTGGGAATAGGGTGAGTATGAGGATGGGGTGAGTGTGGGTCTAGGGTGAGTATGAGGATGGGGTGAGAGTGGGTCTAGGGTGAGTATGAGGATGGGGTGAGTGTGGGTCTAGGGTGAGTATGAGGATGGGGTGAGTGTGGGTCTAGGGTGAGTATGAGGATGGGGTGAGAGTGGGAATAGGGTGAGTATGAGGATGGGGTGAGTGTGGGTCTAGGGTGAGTATGAGGATGGGGTGAGAGTGGGTCTAGGGTGAGTATGAGGATGGGGTGAGTGTGGGTCTAGGGTGAGTATGAGGATGGGGTGAGTGTGGGTCTAGGGTGAGTATGAGGATGGGGTGAGAGTGGGAATAGGGTGAGTATGAGGATGGGGTGAGTGTGGGTCTTGGGTGAGTATGAGGATGGGGTGAGAGTGGGTCTAGGGTGAGTATGAGGATGGGGTGAGTGTGGGTCTAGGGTGAGTATGAGGATGGGGTGAGAGTGGGAATAGGGTGAGTATGAGGATGGGGTGAGTGTGGGTCTTGGGTGAGTATGAGGATGGGGTGAGAGTGGGTCTAGGGTGAGTATGAGGATGGGGTGAGTCTGGGTCTAGGGTGAGTATGAGGATGGGGTGAGAGTGGGAATAGGGTAAGGGCAGGGTTAGGGTGGGATGAGGGCACATCTGTGGATGGGTTGAGTGTGGGTGAGTTGAGTGTGACAATGGATTGAGTGTGAGGTGAGAGTGGAGTATGCGGCGATGGGGAGAATGTGCTTCCTGGTCGTCATTGTCGGTGGTGGTGAAAGTGGTGAAGGCAAGAGATGAGGTGGTGAAGGGAAGAAAATTGAGGCGGCTTTATTATTCAGAGTCGTCGAGGTTGGAGGCGGTCGTGGTGGTAGCCTGGCCTATGGGTGATGGAATCCTGATACACGAGACCCACGTTATATCTTGGTGTCCATCGTCAGAGGTATCCTTTACATGGCCGTCACGACTCGCCCCATATCATAGGCAGGACACACGTTACATCCGAGCTGTGATGTTGCCACCCAGGCACAAAGTTTCATTCTCACGACTACTGCTGACTCCATACAGCCTGACGGTCTAATGTCGCATCAAGGAATGGACCTCGGTAGCAATGTAATTGAACAAATGCCAGTGTCTCTCCACGACTCCACCCCTTGTCTCTCGGAGTCACCACAAGGGGGCCTTTCCTTTGTGCTGGGCACTTTTCAGTATTTTTATTGTTGCTGTTAAAACTCGGAGCTCGCACATGACAAGTGCCACTCACCCGTCACCTTCATATCCACACACCATTGTCTTAGATTTCTCCCATTAGTCGTGGTGAACATAATTACTTGAATAATTATTTAATTGTTCATTGTACCCACGCCTGCTTATCGTAATTTCTTCACTGCGACCCTATCATCCCCCAAATGCATTGCAGATGCATTTATACCTAGATACGTAGGGGAGTGGTTGCTGTGTTGCCTTGCAATTTCTTATTACCCAGGTTCAGTTCCTGGACATTTACATCAGTGACAAGTGGAATGGAAACCTAATCTGGCTCTCCCCTATATTGACTGCAGCTCGTCTTTTATTGAAATATCACAAAGCGCTATGCATGTGAACATTTTGACGGTCCGTAAAAAAAACCCGATTCTTGTTCGAGCTGTGTGAGCATTGGCACTGGGAGGGCAGGCTGACGCCAATGGGCGCGCTCTGCATGAGAACGTGAGACCCTGTTTTTGTGGTTGTTTGTGCGCCTGGGATGCATCCGAGCAGGGTTCTTCACCTGGCGGGACTGCGAAGCCTGCGTGGAGTGGTCCGCCAGGCTGTGGCCGTCTCGAGACGTAACGAGACGAGAGATGAATGAGATGAAAGATAAAACAAGGGACGGAGGAGATGAGAGAGCCGTAGACGAGAGACGCATTTGTTGATGTGAAAGCGACATAGAAACAAGATAGCAAGACGAGAAACCTGGAGATGAGAGGCCCAGATTAGTGTCCGCATGTACAGGACAAATCACAAACATGGGCGCTGACAAAATGCAACAAATGGTGAAAAGGGCGCCACGGAGCACGGAGTCGTGCGTGCTTGGAATTACTCTTGAGAGACAGAAAGAGAGGCACATGGGTTGGAGACCATGTGCATGTTAGGCGCATCGCAGTGACTGCTAGGAAAGCTGAGCGGGCTACGGCAGGACAACGTCGCTCAGAGGGATTGTGGTCGAGACGAGTGGCGGAGTGACAGCTCGAGGAGGGAACGCGCCCTGTTGCATCGTGAGGCCTTGAGGGATGTTGATGGCTTTCTCGAGGCCTTTATCCAGCAGTGGACGGATAATGGCCAATGATGATGGACAAGCGTAGAATGTCACGACACTACGTGGCGTCACAACAGCTGTATATGTGACATGATGCCGCGTAGCCTGCTAGTTATTTTTTGTGCCACCAGAAAATGCAGGGCAACCCGTCTATTGATGCCTCAATGTTGACCCCCTTCTCCACTGGCCATTGAATATTGTGAAAGCGATTGCTCCATATCATCAGGAGGAAGCTGCTAAATAGTTCATACTTTTATTGAGAGTGGTAGGAATCATGTGGAGACTTTTAAATAAAATGTTGTTTTCCCGTATAATTTATCCATAGTATTGTAAGTGGAGTGTTTATGAATAGATGTTGGCATATGGTTGAAGAGGCTTGCCTTAGCAGTGCTGGCTTGATGCCCTGACGGAAGCCTGTCACCACACTCAGCCGCTCGGCCTCTTTCGAGGATTCTCTTGTTTTAACACTTTACTCGGCTTGTTGTTTAAACTACGTACAGTAATCCCTCGGTTAACCGTGACATCGGTTGAGGTTTTTTCGGTTAAAGTTTTGTCTCCCATAGGACCCCCATGGTCTCTACTCACGTAAACATTCTGCCTAACGGTACCGTGTTACGTTATTGGACTCGGGGTGACAGTTTGGACCAATCCGAGCGCTCATAAGTGGGGCTGAGCCATGCCCTCAGCCAATCAGCGACGTCCATTTGTGAGCTTTTCGACTTCGTCTGCCTTTGTTTACATCACGATTTATTTTCTGGGCAGTGGAAACAGCCCTCTTGCCGACTCATGTTATTCCTGTATTCGATTCACAGCTATTTCGGTTCAACATGTTAATCGAGGCACCACTGCACTCTGCTTGTTGTTTAAACTCTGTGCTCTTGATTAATTTGGGCAGTGCTTTGCACCAGTGTCGTAATTTACTTTTCAGGGTTCGATCTCAGGAAGGATGACTCGAATGTTTTCATATCAGTGGCTTGAAACCTCACGGCAAGAGACAGACCGATATTTAGGCTCTCACGGGAATGTGGAATTGCCATCTCCAGGGATGATTACCGCTCAGTACTCCATTGAAAATGGTGTCATTGGGCCGGATGCATGCAGTATACAGAAACACAACAATATTGGAGTTGATGTGGGAGTTGATTGGTACCCAGTGAAGGGAGCTGAGTGTTGGAATTATTCGGGCTAGGGCTGAACGATTAATCGATTTCAAATCAAAATCGCAATTTGAAACAATGCGATTAGCAAATCGCAAAGGCTGCGATTTTTTAGATTTGAAAAGTCCTATTACTTTCTTATTGGAATTGTTTTATGTAATTATACAAACTTTATTTATTTATATGTTTGATTGTTCTATTTCAATTTAAACATTTTAGTAAATACATGTTTGGAAGTAATTTATCTCTTTTAAGTTCTCATCCTGGTATTAGAATAGAAAGAGCTGTTCATATTTTGATGGTATCATGTGGTAATGCTCAATCACATGTTTTAAATCTATTACACAGTGAATATTGAACTAAAGCTTGACTTAAAAAAATGTAATCGCAAATCAAATCGCAATCGCAATATATGTCAGAAAAATCGCAATTAGATATTTTCCCCAAATCGTTCAACTCTAATCCGGGCCTCCTTCAAGGCGCAGGGTCGAGAAGTCACCTCCATTACAAACACAGATTCACTCGTGCACACACACACACGTTTAAGCACACAAAACATAAACTCGTACATAACAACAACCGCCATTCGCCACTAAGTGGTGGTCACGTCACCACAGCGCTTTGTGCATAGGCATGAACCAAAAGTTATATTAGTCACTCTTATGTATACATACGTACATACCCACACAAGGTGAACATGCCCATGCACGTGCAGTCACTCGCTGATTCCGTAGAGGCAGTGTGATGGTATACATGCTCGCATCGCATGTGACGTGCGTTGCGAGTGAAGCGGCTGCTGACAGCCGCACGAATTGAACCCTGGGTGTGGATGTATGATGAACTTATTTTTCACCATATGTAGCCAACCGTGCTAATCGGAGGTCTGTGGGAAGGATAACAAACTATGGGTCTCTCTCTGAGTCTATAGGTCTTTGTGTGAGTCTATGTACAGTGAGGGAAAAAGTATTTGATCCCCTGCTGATTTTGTACATTTGCCCACTGACAAAGAAATGATCATTCTATAATTTTTATGCTAGGTTTATTTGAACAGTGAGAGACAGAAGAACAACAACAAAATCCAGAAAAACGCATGTCAAAAATGTTATAAATTGATTTACATTTTAATGAGGGAAATAAGTATTTGACCCCTCTGCAAAATATGACTTAGTACTTGGTGACAAAACCCTTGTTGGCAATCACAGAGGTCAGACGTTTCTTGTAGTTGGCCACCAGGTTTGCACACACCTCTTGAGGGATTTTGTCCCACTCCTCTTTGCAGATCTTCTCCAAGTCATTAAGGTTTTGAGGCTGACGTTTGGCAACTCGAACCTTCAGCTCCCTCCACAGATTTTCTATGGGATTAAGGTCTGGAGATTGGCTAGGCCACTCCAGGACCTTAATGTGCTTCTTCTTGAGCCACTCCTTTGTTGCCTTGGCCGTGTGTTTTGGGTCATTGTCATGCTGGAATACCCATCCACGACCCATTTTCAATGCCCTGGCTGAGGGAAGGAGGTTCTCACCCAAGATTTGACGGTACATGGCCCTGTCCATCGTCCCTTTGATGCGGTGAAGTTGTCCTGTCCTCTTAGCAGAAAAACACCCCCAAAGCATGTTTCAACCTCCATGTTTGACGGTGGGGATGGTGTTCTTGGGGTCATAGGCAGCATTCCTCCTCCTCCAAACACGGCGAGTTGAGTTGATGCCAAAGAGCTCCATTTTGGTCTCATCTGACCACAACACTTTCACCCAGTTGTCCTCTGAATCATTCAGATGTTCATTGGCAAACTTCAGACGGGCATGTATATGTGCTTTATTGAGGAGGGGGACCTTGCGAGCGCTGCAGGATTTCAGTCCTTCACGGCGTAGTGTGTTACCAACTGTTTTCTTGGTAACTATGGTCCCAGCTGCCTTGAGATCATTGACAAGATCCTCCTGTGTAGTTCTGGGCTGATTCCTCACCGTTCTCATGATCATTGCAACTCCACGAGGTGAGATCTTGCATGGAGCCCCAGGCCGAGGGAGATTGACAGTTCTTTTGTGTTTCTTCCATTAGCGAATAATCGCACCAACTGTTGTCACCTTCTCACCAAGATGCTTGGCGATGGTCTTGTAGCCCATTCCAGCCTTGTGTAGGTCTACAATCTTGTCCCTGACATCCTTGGATAGCTCTTTGGTCTTGGCCATGGTTTAGAGTTTGTAATCTGATTGATTGATTTCTTCTGTGAACAGGTGTCTTTTATACAGGTAACAAGCTGAGATTAGGAGCACTCCCTTTATGAGTGTGCTCCTAATCTCAGATCGTTACCTGTATAAAAGACACCTGGGAGCCAGAAATCTTTCTGATTGAGAGGGGGTCAAATACTTATTTCCCTCATTAAAATGCAAATCAATTTATAACATTTTGACATGCGTTTTTCTGGATTTTGTTGTTGTTATTCTGTCTCTCACTGTTCAAATAAACCTACCATTAAAATTATAGACTGATAATTTATTTGTCAGTGGGTAAACATACAAAATCAGCAGGGGATCAAATACTTTTTTCCCTCACTGTATGTAGAATTTCTTTTGCACCGTACGTAGCCAACTGTGCTTGTCGGAGGTGCGGGGGGAGGACAATAAACTATGGGTCTGTCTGAGTCTACGGGTTTCTGTGTGAGTATGGATCTTTGTGTGAGTCTATGGATCTCTGTGTGAGTCTATGGGTCTCTGTCTGAGTCTACGGGTCTCTGTGTGAGTCTGGGTTTCTGTGTGAATCTATGGGTCTCTGTGTGAGTCTATGAGTCTCTGTGTATGTGTTTTGAACTGCTTACGCACCGTATGCAGCCAACCATGCTAATCAAAGTGCGGGTTATGGCGACACGCCTGAGGTCCGGCCCGGTGGTGGCAAGGGTTGGTGGATCACTTGGGCTTTGTGTTGAGGCCCCCCAAATTTACAACACAGCATATTCCAAAGCTCGAATACTTATTGATCAAGAATTATACAGATTGCCTTGCTGCCTTCTCTGTGCAGAAGTATTCATAGGGCTAATGACGTTTCTAAATACCATTTGTAGATCCTCAAAGAAACTCCAAAACGAGATGCAGTTCAAGTTTGACCGCCGCCCACCCGTACTAAAGGGGATGTGACTCAGTAAATATTTCCCACTGAACTTGAATAGTTCGGCTGCTTTTTTACCAGAGCCAAACTCTTGAGGTCATAAGGTGTGGTTGGGTTTACGTGAATCTAATGAAAACTCCAAAACCCTCTGGTTTGGTTGTCATGACAATGAGTGGATTCATGAACCCATGTTTATTTGTGTCCCTATGGGTGTTTGTCCCCTCGCTAAAGTGCAGCAAGTTGGCACAGCAGGGGGCACAACTGGAAACCTGGGTCTGTCCCCTAATCTCCTGTCAGGGAGCCTTCAAAACGTCACGCGGCTTCAAAGTGCTCCCGGCCTGGCACAGGCGCCGTGGTGACGTCATTGTCACTTAGTAGCGAATGGCGGCTCTTGTTGTTATCCCCTAATGTGTGTGGGGTTGTGTTGGGTAGATTCCAGTTTCCTCCCACATGTAAAATTCTTTTTCAAACGAAATTGGTCAAACCTCCCAATGCAGGACACTCCTGAGAAACAGTGTTGAAACCCTGCATATATAAACTCAAATTACAAACTCAACTATTTTAGTTACCAAGTCAAGCCCACTAAGCTATTAGCTATTTTTCAGAGGCAACCTGGCCACACATGATAGCTAATTGAAGTGGCTTGTCATCATGCATGGGAATTTATCGTAGCCATATAATCTAAACACGCGTTTGTAAATGTGGAGTGCAAAACCGGAGGACCTGGAGAAAAATCCATGTGACCACTATGGTGAGAGAGACAACACCTCTATGTTTGGAAAACTCCAAATATACAGGCATTGTCAGGATCTCGATCGAACCCATGTTCTGCATAGCAGGCAAGGGAGATAACATCTCAATCACAGAGGTGACTGTGAAGGTGTGGTCTCGGTCTGGCATGTTAGGCACATGCTTTTGAGTCCTTTCGATTCAAAAGTGTGTGACGGTGACACTCAGAAAAGGGAAGTGTGATTTTGCTAACGTGCTCAGAGGCCGCGGGTTAATGCTGACATCAGCACGGGTGGCGGTGTGTGACATTGCGGTCTGCACACTGCACCAACATCTCAGCCACCCAAGTGTGATTTCTAGCAATGATAAACATCAACACTCAGTCAGTTTTTATATTAATCCAGTGTGGATATTTCCTAGGTTTGCTCAGCTTAAAGTGAGCACGTGGTGTTGTTGTGTATTCAACGTCAGCACTGGGAAAATAAAAGTGGTGGGATGTTGTGCTGTTATCCCTGCCCCTTTATATGCCTTTGCTGCCTACTGGACATCTGTGAAAAAGAGCTTTATAGCTCATCTGATTCCTCCGGTATAAATAAATATTGTGATTCTGATATTCTGATTCTAATAGGTGCTCACTCACTCCACTCACGCTGACAGTAAAGCGAAATCGAGGACAGTGTGTTTTTGTCTTTGTGTGCTTGTGTATCAATTGTTTGTGTGTATATGTGTGATATGAACCCGGCGGCCTGAGTTCGATTTCCGCTTATGGCCAACACCTTTCACGATTATTTGAACCTGTTCTGGGCCTCCCGTAGGTCGACTTAACCGCAAATGAGTACCTGGTTTGGTGTGTAAACATCTCCACTAGGGAGACAAAGGCAGCAGGGCGTGGTGCCAGCCACTCACCCCCTTGTGTGCCGTTCCGACCTTCATAGGTGCTCGCTTACATTACTTCTACAGTCTGTTAAGGCTATACGGGGTGTCTTTGTCTACCTATATGTGTGTTTGTGTTAATTGTACCAGTGTGCAACTTTGTGTATGAGTGTCTTTACTTGTCCATGTGTTTGTGTGTTCCTGCATCTGCCTGTTTACATAGATTCCCATATTAGTGTGCATGCCTGTAAGTGGGGAGCGGTTAGCGCACTGTGCTACGGACCCGGCCACCCGAGGTCGATTCATGCTCACGGCCAACATGAGCGGCGATTATCTGAATCTGGGCCTGGTGTGCAGGCTGGCGTAGTGTTGGCCACCCGATCCCTTGTGTGCTGTGTTCGCTAACAGCACTTGCCCCAACGGCCTGTTAAATTTGTACGGGGGTCTTTTTCAGTGTTTGTGAGTGTATATATATATATATACACACGTGTGGTGGGTGTGCTTGCTTCTTCATCTTGTGTGTGTGTGTTTGTATTGCAGTGGCATTTTAAGTCGAGTGGAATTATCTTTTCATCAACTGTAACACGATGTGGAAACTACCTGGCCTGCTGCTCCACAAAATCTTTGGGTCTTCTCAGCCACAGTCATGACCTACCTCCCTTCTCTATGCTTGCATAAGGCAAAGAAGCGACGCTCAAAAAGAGTGAAGTGCAGGCGGCTCAAACACAGCAGGTTGGCACATTAGGGAGCGCAGGTAGTGAATCTGCCAGTCATCTCAGTCAGCCAATGACACCTGGGTCTGTCCCGTGACCTGTCAGTGAGCCCTTTGACACTTCATTACCTCGAAGCGCACCTAACCTGGCGCAAGTGCTGTGGTGATGTCACTGCCACTTAGTGGTCAATGCGGGCTGTTGTTGTACACTGTGTATACATGTGTTTGTGCCCCCGTGTATTTCTCAGTCCCTCAATGAGATGCTGGACTCGGTGAATGCTCCCCTGGAGATCACCGATGGCTACATCGAATCCATCTCCGTGTCCATCCCCTGGTCGGCTCTGCTGCTTGAGAACTCCACAGTGGAGGTGCGGGGTCTGCGCCTCACACTCAGGCCCAAGGCACCCACCGGTAAGTTCTCCCACATGAGTGCATGTGTATTATGTGCTTGTGTACGTTAGCGGTGGTGTAGTGGTTAGCGCACGACGCTGCAAACCCGGCAACGTGAGTTCCGTTCCCATTCACGGCCAAAAAACAGCAGTGAATGTTTGAACCCTCTTGGTTGAATGGTCCTCGAATGACTGCCTCGTGTTATGTGCAAGCATTGCCTCTAGGGAGAAAAAGGTGGCCGGGCCCATGCCCGGCCACCCGCTCGTGTGCCGTGATGGCCTGAATTGGTGCTCACGAATAGCAATTCTCCAAATGTGTTATTTAATCTTTAGGAGGGTCAGAGTCGTCATTGTTGTTTGTGTGCTCGTAGGGAGCGGTGCTGTAGCGGTTAGCGCGTTGTGCTACGAACTTGGCAACCCTAGTTCGATTCCTGCTCACGGCCAAGACCAGTGACGATTATCTGAACAAGCCCTTAGCCTCCCCTGGGTCGACTCAGCCTCAAATAAGTACCTGGTACAGTGTGTAAACATTGCCGCAAGGGAGACAAAGGCGGCCGGGCATGGTGCTGGCCACCCATCCTCTTGCGTGCTGTGCCGGCTTTCATAGGTGCTCGCTAACAGCACTTGCACCAACAGTCTGTTCAGGCTATATCGTGGGGATCTTTGTTTTTGTTATGTGTGTGCTTGTAGTATCGGTGGTGGAGTCTCTCTACTGGTCCACGTGCATGACCAGCAGCATGCAGCTGGCGCAGGAGTGCCTGAAGCAGCAGCCGGGGGACGAGCAGCCAGACTGCGCCACACAGCAGTTTGAGGGCCTTGAGGTCTTCGCTCAGACCATTGACACTGGTACAACAACAACATCCACCATTTGCCAATTTAATTCGGGATGACATCGCCATGGTACTTGTGCCAGGCTCGGTGCACATTGAGGCCACACACCTGTACACACCCACTAGCCGTGACACCCTGGTTTCTGGTAGGGTTGTTAAACAGTAACCGGTAACCGATTCCAGCGGAATGTTTAGTCGGAGGAGGTGGGAGTGCCCACGCTTTGCCCCACCACACGTGCCCTGCTAATCAGCTGACTGGTGAACCGATTTGTACTGCTGGGTGGGTGGACAGAGGCAGTGGGGGCGGATTTAAGAAACTTGCCCCATTGTGTCAGCTGCTGCGCTCATAGGTGGAATTAAACCGGCAACCTCTGAGTTGCGAGTCCAATGTGCTCACCGTTACACCACTGTGGCAGCTCGCTTTGATTCTCAATTTAAACAGTTAAACACACTGTGTTTTTTTCTCCACGTTTCTATTATGCGCGGCAAAGCAACGACCGGTTTTATTGCATCTACCGCCATTACACGAAAATGATTTTGACAGCCCTGATAAATAGATTAAGTTCATTCCGCCCAAGCACGCACACACACTCACACACTCACGTGGGTGAGTGCAGCTGTTGGGATACTTGCTTCTGGGATTCGTGACGCAGTCTGACAAACCACGCGTCTCCAGAAACCCGACCACGGGTAAACAGCACAGAGCCTTCACCCCCCCTCACCTCCAAAGAAGCAGCCGCCGCTGCGCTAACGCGACGACCGGCATAAACACTGAGCTAGGCGGCCGCCACCACCACCTGCCTCTCAGAATTCTCTGCACGGTGCCAGTTACAAGGACCCTGCAAAAAAACTAGGAGCAACAGAAATGTGTATTTTTTTTTTTAAAGGAGGACGTTAAAATATCATGGACAGACAAGATGAGTAACACAAATGTATGCAGAGCATAATACATTTAGAGAGGTAGTGAGAAAACAAGAGACTGAATATGATGTTTTGACTGGGAATATTGCGGGTACTAGAAACCGGGGAAGATGGAAAATTAAGTACTTAAGCAGTCTTAACAATTGGATGCGACTGGGAGCATCTAATGCAAAGTTGTTGAGTTATATCATGAACAGACATAAATGAAAGACGGCCATGATCGCCAATGCATTTGAGAATGAATGCCGGCGTATATAGCGAAAGAGATACGGTGCCTCAGTCTGGCTCTGTGATTCCCAAGTGTTTCATCGAACCCCTAAGAATTGTAAATAAACCTTTGGATGGCCAAGATGTTTAACAGCCCAGTTTTTAACCTCGTGGGAACTTCCCCCGACATGTTTAGGAGTCGAAAGAGTTGTAAATGTAGATCTTGGATGGTGGTCGACTCAGTCCATCATCCCTCTGGGGTCAATAAAATGAGTATTATTTTGTTTGTAGTCAACAGTGGTTGTACTCTGAATAGTTTACATTGGTTACTGAGGTGGTGTTTGTAGATTAGTCTCTGCCAGAGCAGTGCGGAATATCCACCAGTGGCTCAGAACTGCCAACGAAGATGAACACCACCTTTGGTGAGGTGTGGTTTAGTGTGGGGACATGTGGAGCTGGTTGTGTGCTGTGTGTGTGGTGTAGCAGAGTGAGATTTGGTGTTGGTGGCAAGGTGTGGTGTTGGTTGTGTGGTGTAGTGTGGTAAGATTTAGTATTTGTGGCGAGGTGTGTAGTTGGGTGTTGTAGTGTGGTGTGCAGTGTTATGTAGATGTGTACTGTGATTTTGATGGCGTGGTGTAGTGTGACGTGGAGTAGTATGGGTGAGGTGTGGTGCTGGTGGCGTAGCATGGTGAGATGTGGTGCGGTGACTCATGGTGGTTCTGATGCGGTCGCCCCGTGTCCCTGCGCCCCAGTGCTGCGACGAGTCAAGTTGGCCTTCCTCGACACGGTGGTGCGCGTGGAGCACGTGCGGGACAACGCCAAGAGCGGCGTCGCGCTCGAGCTGCGCATCAAACGGTGCGTAGGGCCGGTGTGTGAGATGCGTGTGTGTGTCTGTGATGTGTGTGTGATGTGTGTGGGAGATGTGTGTGTGATGTATGTTCTTGTGTGAGAGGTGTCCATGTATGTGAGATGTGTGTTTTTTGTGGGTTAGTGCACTGTCTGGAGTTGGGGTGTCTATGCGCTGTTTATGTTTATGTTGCCCAACCCAAACTTTCTCTGGCGCCTCCACTCTGCCTCCGTGCTGCTCTATTTCCACGTTTTCCCTGACCTCGTTGGGTTTTGTTCACCACCGCATTGCCTGGCTTAACCCCCCGTGCCATCTCACAACTCCCCGCCTGACCTCCGTGTCCTCCGCACGCCTCCTCAACGCCAATGCCTCTCCCGACACCTGTCCCGCATCTTGTCTACCACCGGGGACTCCCCTAGGACCACGTCGTTCATTGGACCCCCAGGTCCTCTGAGACTGCCGCTAACTCTTGATGGTGCCTGGAACTGGTTTGTCATTGATGGAGGTTGTTTCCTGGAGGTGACCAGGCCCAGTGGTGCCGCTGTTCACAGCTTATTGCTGATTTATAGCCAGATTCATGGTTCTAAATCCGGCAGGCCGCCCTGATTATTACTGTGGTGTTAACCGTGAAACACTTATGCACCGCCGGCTTCACTGTGTACGTTAAATATCCCCTGACGTCATTCTAATAGAGGAGGCCATTGTGTTCCGCTGTCATGGTTGAAAATTAGCCAAAATAGAAAAATTACCTGCAATTTACTCAGTTGGGATTATACATAGCAACATCGCCTCCGGTTCTGAAACTGTTGTATCAAATGTGTGAATGTGTTGATTTGTTGCTCTGAGCTTGGCCTTCGTAGGCGACAAGCTGTGCCTTGCCAAACGTCTTCTTGTACTCATCCCCGCAACCAAACCCCTGGCGTGTGCTTGTGATTCCTGCTCACGGCCAACACCAGTGACGATTGTTTGAACCGGTCCTGGTCCTCCCCTAGGTTGACTCGGCCTCAAATGAGTTCCTGGTGCGGTGTGTAAACATCTCCACTAGGGAGACAAAGGCGGCCGAGCGTGGTGTTCCCCACCCATCCCCTATTGTGCTGTCGGCCTTCGTAGGTGCTCGCAAACAGCACTTGCTCCAACATCCTTTGAAGGCTATACGGGGGATCTTTTTCTTTGTATGTGTGTATGTAATTAGATATTTAATTACTGCCATGTTTAGTGAATTACTATTGTGGAGATTACTCTTAAGGTGTCAGCCCAAGTTTGCGGGTGGGTAACGGTGGGCAGCGTGGACAACTGTAGCGGGTCAGCTCGTATGAGTATATATTTGTCCGTATTTTGACGTGTCTGTATGTGGGGGAGCCGTAGTGCAGTGGTTAGCGACACTGCATTACGAACCCAGCAACTCTGGTTCAATACCCGCTCACGACTAACATGGGTGACGAATATCCCAAACCAGTCCTGAGCTTCCCCGAGGTCAAGTCTCCCTTAAACCAGTACCTAGTGCGGTGCATCAACATCGTCACCTGGTAGACCGACGTGACCAGGCGTGGTACTAGCCACAGCAATCCGCCTCACACCACGCCCCAACAGTCCGCTTGAAGGCTACTCGGCGGGCTCGTCGTGTTTGTGCGCGAGCAGCATGGATTACTGCGACGAGGCGGCGTGCGAGGAGGTGGGGGACCTGGGCCCCGGCGGCGTGCTAGGCGAGCACGTCGACCTGCACCACCCGGCCGCCTTCGCGCGCAAGACGCTGCGCCTCGTGGACGTCGACGTCTTCTGCCAGGAGATCCCGGCGGAGGCCCGGACGCCGCCCCGCACGCCGCCCTCGCACCAGGTGTGCAGCCACAACGCACGCTCGCCACGCTCGTGACAAGTAGACGACAGATCCCCCTCCCCCGTGCAGCCTGGAACAGACTGTTGTTGTGAGTGCTGTTAGCGAGTAGCACCGCCTATGAAGGCTGGCACGGCTACACGAGGGGGTGGGTGGCCAGCACCAAGCCCGGCCGCCTTTGTCTCCCAAGCGGCGATGTTTTACTACACACTGCACCGGGTACTCATTTGAGGCTAAGTCGATCTAGGGAGGCCCAGCGCCGTTTCAGGTAATCGTCACTGGTGTTGGGCGTAAGCGGGAATTAAACTCTGGTTGGCGGGTTCATAGCGCAGCGCGCAAACCACTCCACTGCCGCTCCCTAAACTCAATACGGCTTGCGTTCACACACCCATATATATAGATGTACACAAGTATGTGTATTGGGGAACAAACAACAGGATGGTCAGCCCAGTTCACCACCCATGCAACCTACTCAGCTCAATATAGATTGAAAACTAATTTATTTAGAACTGCTTCTGGTGTTTAGTTTGTTGGCCTTCCCCTGCACCTCCGATGAGCACGGTTGGCTACGTATGGTGCGAGAGAAGTTTAACATGCAGGCACATCCAGAAGCTCACTGTGGCCATTCTGAGACGCCGGCTTGCCGCACGCTCGACGTGCATCGGTATCCACGTTTGCGCGTCATGCCGACATTCGGTTCGACGTCGTCGTCGAGCGGATTTACGGTGTTAATCGCGCGACAGCGTCGCGAATAATCTCGTTCGCCGGCGTGCGATCCGTCTCCCCTACCGCCAGGACACGGAGCCCAAGCTGTCGCCGTCGTGGAACCCGCGCATCGTGTCCGAGCCACACCCGCAGTTCTCGCTGTCTCCCACGGGGAGCGCGGCGGGGCTGCGCAGCGAGCCCGTGGACGACGACGCGGCCGCCCCCCTTATCACGCCGCCGCCACCCCTGCAGGTGGCGAGCTGTGCCGGCGCGGTGGAGGTCAATGTTCAGCTGAAGCAGAACGAGGCCCTGCCTGGGCCGAAGGTGAGGGTCGCGACCCAACCCCTCGTGTCCCCCCCCCCCCACCCGGGTGGCGAAACTAATACCCCCGTTTTGTGGCCTCCCGATGCTGTAAAAACAATTGTGTGCATGTTACGCAAATGATTAACGGTTACGTGGAACTGGCAAGAAGGCCATGGCGGGATGGGAATAGTTTTTTGTGGTGGAAAATAATTCACCAATAATTAAGGTATTTTACCTTGTTACACTGTTTCTTACACTATTTACCTTGTTCAACTCCTTTATTTTGTTACACTATTTTACGTTGTTACACGAATTGATCTATCTAAATAAATTTACCTTGTTAACATTATTTGGACCTTGTAAGTTACAACCAATCTAGCAGCAATCCATCAGCCAGTTCAAGGAGACATTCGGTAGACCCTGTCGCTGCGATCCACATAGCGTCTTTGGCCTCCTTGGTTTGGATGAAAAAGTTGAGCATTAAACTTTCACACGTTTCAATACTGTTGCTTTGTCCCTGATGTCAGACGAAAACATCTTCTGGCTCTGATTATTATTAAACCGGTTTGCCTGCATGGTTGCCTTGGTGACGTCACAGCACCGAATTGAGGACCTGGATCAGGAAGGGCATTCATGCGAACTCTTGTTTCCACCTGATGGTGCTGGTTGTAACCTCCATTCGTCGGCCAGAAATTGTTCTCTCTTTTCATTGTAATTGGTTTAGCTGAAAAACCAAATCAATTGCGATATCTTCCCACGTGACAACTTGCTTTGTTTGGTCTTGTCGGGAGGTGGAGGGTTACAGCTCATATTTGACCATTACAGCTACACGTTCGGACCTAAACAGAAACCAATTACGAATCTGAAACTTAAGTAATTCACCAAGGCTGGTCAGAGCGTCGTCCTCCTGCGGCATAGCGTCTTGCAGTGTGCGTCTCTTCTATTGGCGGCCGTGAGCCGGTAGTGGTGGAAATGACGCAGCGCTGAGTTGTGTGGTCACTCTCCACACAGCAGTGGTTCTCAACCTTTGTTGGCTACTGCTGTACCCTCGTTGAATTTAGTTTCAACTGAGTAACCCCCCTTGCCTGACCCATCATGGTTCTGAGAAATAAATGAATTAATAATGAACATCGATTTTTTTTGTTTTACCAGTTGTCCTTTTGTGAGGTATCCTAACCAGCTAAGCAACTGCAAACGAATAAAAAATGAATGGACGCTCTGCACGCATGACGTAATGTTGTCGTGCTCGCTGGGTACTCTTGGAAACCACATTGTTTATGATCAGTGAGTTTAAAAAAGTATTTTATATCCTTCTAGGGTACCATTTGGATTTAAATTGTATAGTTATTTTCTCTTAGCATATTCATACATGATTATTCCCCAATGCCTCTCATGTACGATATAATCTCACACATTTATAAATCACCTCACGTACCGCCTGGGACATTTCCAAATATCCCCAAGAGGCTCCGTGCCCCCCGGTAGAGAACCACTGCTCCACACAGCACAACCACCAATGAGTTCCCACAGAGCGGAGCTCGTTTGTGTCGACGCGGGAGTGACGGTCGATCGATAGAGAGGAGATGTTCAAAATCCCAGTCACGGGTTGATGCGGCCGCCATGCATGGCATGCTGATAAATTAAGTGTACATTGTGGTCAAGTCAACAGTGCCATATCTACATAGCCTGGCCCCCACCATGCAAATGTGGAATTTCCACCACTGAGTCCAGGACTATCAATAGAGATGAGTGCCACTCCGTTGCTTTGTTTCGCCGAAAGACTGCTTTGAATACCACTTTACGAGTATAAACGTGCGCACACGGACACACGGACGTACATTTTACAAACCTACATCATCCCCGTGTCCCCACGTGTCTTGCACGTGTCTGGCAATACGTAGTTCTGGCCACATCGCCATCACTTCCTCATCCTGCGATGCCGTGCCGGCCGCGTTAATAGGCGGTCGTTGTCCGTGCTCGATGTTTGTCGCAGCTGGAGGTGAAGGCGAGCATGGGCTCGCTGAACGTGTTCGCGTCCCCAAGGCAAGCCCACCTGCTGCTCGACCTCTTCTCCGTGCTCTGGGGCCCAGGTACCGGCAGTGTCGGGTGGCCATGTCGTTTTGCAGCGGTGTTTGTCCACGCGCGCGCCGCTCGCAAACCAAAGGCCGGCCCAGCGGGAGCAGCCGCTCCCTATCGGAGCTCTTGCTGCCCTGCTGCGGGAAGAGGAGGCTGAGGGGGGAGGCCGGATCCTTGTGGCTGCTACAGTAGCTTGCAGCAGGCTGATCGCTACCTCCAGGGGTAGGCACTGGGAAGGGAGCTGGCCTTGCACTGTGAGGGACCTGATGGACTGGAGACGGAGGCTGAATGCCACCATACGCTGTGTCGCCGTGTGCTGTCCCCCACCTCCCCTGTGTATGATCTGATTTTTAGGTTGATTAATTTTATGCAGCTCAACACACATTTTTTTATTTCCTTGGATGGCTCGGATCGGCCAGCTGATTTTATTGCTGTCATTCTCACGTCAGTGCAACCATGCTGCCGTTGTGTGCTCACCGCTGTAGCAGTGTCTCACCGGAGTACGCGGTTGTCAGAACAGTCATGCCAATGCCAACAGAGACTCCCTGTTCCTCTCCATTCACAGCCATTCGCCAGCATTGGAAATTCCACATTCTTGTACAGGGGACTTGCCTCCTTGTCGGACAAATTACTGCTGATGTCATGCTAAATATTGCCCTATGCATTGACCCCCCAGAAGAATAATGATAACATTGCCGAGCTGAGCCAACCCGTGACTGTGACGTTCTGATTGCTAGGCAGTCTTTCTGCCATGCGGCTCCTTGGTCGGATCACATGTGGTTTATCGGCAACACAGACCTCTTACATATGGGTTCCTCAGTCGGGGTTTGTTTAAACAACGGAAACACTGAGCCAATTTAGCCGTTACCGGTTCCCCATCACCAGGACCATGTGACCTCTGAACCCAGTGGTACTCGGTAGCTTATTGTTATCGGCGAGAACCATCCTAAAACACCGTTGTAGGTTTCCCTACATAAGGATTATGGGTAGCACGTGCATGTTTGTGCATGGGGCACTCGCGTAATGGCTAGCGCTGTGAACCCAAGTTCCAAGTTTATTTTTGTTGAACTAGTTGAAAAGGAAATGGTAACGATTGTCTAATTTTCAACAGGGACCCTGGGGCAATAGTCTGCCAGTAAGAGATTGATGATTCCCATGTGTAATTCCAATCGGGTAGTTTGCGAGTAAATTTGTAGTTTGGCGAACTTGGACCATGGCGCCGACACACAGTGGCCTACTCTTGCGAATGACATAATCAGTGTCCACTGCGAAGCAGACGGCGCGAGGTATTATATTTTTTTGGTTATTACACCCACATTATTAATCAGGCCCACCGCTGGAATCGAACCCTGAACCTCAGCCATTGAGGCTGCTCTCTCTGGGAGCCTGCGGCTGTTGCTGCTGCTGCCGGCGCAGGGCACGGGGGTCCGTGGGCGCCGCGCCTTGCGAGTCACGCGACCGGGCCGGTTCTCGCGGCTTTGGGCCCCGTGGATAACAGTTGCGCCAACACAGATGGCGGCTGCCTGCGGGAGACGCTGGGCAGGAGCCGCCCCATGCAGTCGGTGGACATGCGCCGCATCGAATCCCAGCTGCACCGGCAGTTGGCGGAGCGGCAAGGGGAGCACGTGGGGCGGCACGTGGGGCGCGGCGGTGCTCAGGACGACGCAGCCGGCCTCACTCACAGGATGGCGCCGGCATGTAGGGGTGAGCCTCGACGTTGCGCACGTGCGCACGCTTACACTCGCAACAAAACGCACTCGAGTCATACGTGCAGTCGTCGCGGACGCTTCGGAGATAGTTACGTTGTTAGAGCCACCACCCGGCAAATCCAAATTTTTATTTGTTTCCATTCACCGGGACGTTGGAGAACAGCTCTCGGCAATCAAATGTAGCAGCAGTTAGATTCGACGTGTCACTTGAAAACTGCGTCAAGCATCTTCAGGATGGAATGCGGGAAGTCAGAGTGACCGCATCACCTGACCAGGTTTCTTAACCTTTTCCCATTCAGAGACGTCTGCAAGTTGCAGGGTGGGTGTCCTGTTTACTGCTGAGTCTCAGGCACCCTACCCACGGGATAACTGCTGTGAACTTTCCGCAAAATACGAATGTGGTTGGGGATGGTGCCAGCCATACCGCCCCCTCGTGTGTCACTCCGTTCTTAATCGGTGCTCGCCAACGGTCCTACCCTGAGTGTTTACCATGCCCCTCGGGGGGGTGTCTGTGCGCAGAGGATGAGTTTTTCTCGATGGCGGACATGTCGGGGAGTGTGGGGTCCCTGCCCCCACTTGGAGAGCCCCCCGAGGTCGACCTGGACACGTCCTTCAGCAGCAGCACCAGCGTGAGAGTCGTGGGGACACCCACACCGACATGTGGAGACACGCGGGGGACACGCACACCGACATGTGGATACACACGAGGACACGGGGATATGCACACAGACACGTGGAGGCACGCGGGAACACGGGGACATGCATATCGACAAGCGGGGACCCAGGTACACGTGGGGACATGGGCACATACGCATGGAGACATGCGGGGAGACGGGCACACGCACAGACACACGTATTTGGATTACACAGAGCAGCATTCACCGCCCCCTTCTGGCAGACTCGTGCTTTATTGCAGGCCAGGAGTGGAGTCACCTTGTGCCGCACAGGGATAGTTGTCATTAGGGGGTGCACTTTCAAATGTTTAGCATAGGATGAACAGCCCTCACATGGGGACAGACCTGGGTGTTGTGATGGAGGTTTAGATATGGCCTCTGTAATGTTGTTTGATTATATGTGGCACTATTGTATTGTACATGCGAATACTCTTTTCATTAAGTCCAGAGGCAGATGCTAACGACGAACATTGACAGACGAATTGTACCAATGAGTCCTGATGAGGACGGAACCAGCCTCCAGCTGTCTTCCTCTCACTGTTGCCTATTGTTAGGATGGCCACATTTTCCTCACTCTTTCAGTTGATGGTCTGAATGACAAATGACCACCTATTCAGTTATTTTGAGCTGGTAGCATGGATAAGACTGAGGGTGGTTGTACATACAATGCTCCACATCTGTGTGTGCAATTATTCCCTAGGTTGCGGAATACCCGACTTACGTAAAATCCGACCTTTCGGAAATGCTCCCTTAAATAATGTAAAACAACAATTCAATATGCGGACATGTTTGCGTTAGTTACGTCAGCGCAAGTAGTGCAGCGCGGTGAGGTTGTGGGTGAATTTCGCGGAGCGAGGCGTAAGGCGGGCGCAGCATCTCCCCCAAGGCGGTGGTGTGGAGCCGCTCTGCACTGTCAGTCACGCTGTTACATGGTTACCGTGCGTATACCCGCCACATCGTCTTGTAACTTTCTAACTAGATTCAAAGCTTTCGTGACTGCAGAAATTACTCTTTGGTTCTTTCGGTAAAGTCACGTAGAAAGAAAATAAATGAAATAATAATAGAATACGACGTTTTGATTGCAGCACAAGCAACCACCATTAGGTAAAAATGAATGAGAAAACAAACATAGTAAACTTTTAAATATAATGCAATACAACACAGAGAAGTCGGCTAACAACAGTCAACACCCTACCTGGTTGATTACGTTCTTCCAAAGATTGCTAAATTTGAGAAAGAGACAAAACACAGACACGGAGACACATAGACAGGCACACAAGCAGAGAGAGACGCACACAGAGACACAGAGAGAGACACACACATAGACAAACAGAAAGACAACGCCTCTGTGTCACCTTAAATGGAGAGGGAGGGGGGGTTGGGGCAGAGAGAGAGGGGGGGATTGGGGTAGAGAACAATGAGAGAGTTGTGTGGAATTCCTGCCCATAGCGGCCGGAGGAGAGACAATGGACTTATAAACAAACAAGCACGCAAAATTTAGAGAGAGAAATAGGAATTTTAAGAAAACAATGCAAAATTAGGGAAGTGTAATGCAATGCAACACAGAGAGTCGGTTAACACACAGTTAACGCATAGCCTGGTTGATTACGTTCTTCCAAAGATTGCTAAATTAGAAGTTAAGTGTGAAACAGATGAGCACGGCAAAATTGCAACTTTCTATTGCTCGTTTTCTTTGTTTTAAGTTTATTTCATGAGTTATTTATTGTATGTACTTTATTTAACACAATTACACTTTGATTGCTTGTGGTCTCAGCCAACAGCGATTGGAGAAGTTTAGACCTAGCATAATGCACAATAAACGAACGTTCGAAAGTGACTGCTTTCTGTTAACAATTCAAATGTTTCGTGGTATTCATAAACAGTTGGATACAGTATGTGTTCCATTAGTTTAATAATGGGTAGTGTTAGGGTAGATATTCGATGAAATGAAAGAATCGTAGGAAGTGCAGAGCATACGTACAGCGACACGATGATGTACAGGTAGTGATATAAAACTGAGGACAGCGCGATACAGAACTGAGAGAAAACGAACTCGTAATTGGGTAGTAGGGGAGACACAACTATTTTTAGATATGGGATTTTATTGTTTATTTTGGGGGAAAATTGTTCAATTTCCCACATACGGAAAATTCATGTTATGGATCGTTCTCGGGAACCTAACCCTTCCGTAACCCGAGGACTGCCTGCATTGTTAAGTCTGTAGGTCTATGAGGCTTGATGTCTCTGTGCTCTCTCTGCGCTCCCTGTGTTCCGTGTTCTCTCTCTGTGCTCTCTGCGCTCTGTGCTGTCTGTGTGCTTTGTGTGTCTATCTCTCTGTATGTTCTCTGTGTACTCTCTCTGTGTCCTCTGTGCTGTCTGTGTGCTTTGTGTGTCTATCTCTCTGTATGCTCTCTGTGTCCTCTCTCTGTGTCCTCTCTCTGTGCTGTCTGTCTGCTGTCTCTGCTTTCTGCGTGTTGTCTGTGTGCTCTCTGTGCTCTGCTTGCACTCTGTGCTCTCTGTGCTCTGTGTGCGCAGGGAGGCCGGCAGTGGGGGGTGGCGCAGCAGCCGCTGAGGGTCCGCGACGGAGACACGAGGCACAGCACACGTACGGCACACACACACACAGCGCATGCACACACAGCACACACACAGCTCACACACAGCTCATACACAGCGCACACACAATGCACACACAAAGCACACACAGCACACACACAACGCACACACAGCACACACACACAGCTCACACACGTAGCTCACACACGTGTATGGCACCACAGGGACACAACACGAACTAGGCAGGGTGACAATTACCACCTTACCCCCCAATGTCAGAGAGCGTCCATGGAGGGACTGCAAATCAAAGCACCAACTCTGGAGGCTGCTTCAGCTCCTTGCATGAGCCCCGAGTCCCCTACCAGGGGGCTGTAACGCACCATGATAACCACACAAACACTGTGCCTCTGTCTGTCTGTGTCCCAGTGTCTCTGTTCCTCTGCTGCATCAGTCTCTTGTCTACTTTTCTAAGTGTCTTTGTGTTTTTTCTGTCTTTCTCTTGCCTGCCTTTCTCTTTTTGTGTCTCTCTCCTCCTGGGAGGCGACAGTAAAGCATAGTACCCGCACACACACACTTTTCCCGTCTCTGTGATTCGATCTCCGTGTAATTCTGTATCTGCTTCTGCGTAATACGTCTCTGTCCGTCTCTTTCCCAGCGTATCGCAGTCGCGCGTTGGCACACACACACACGCGTGTGTGTCTCTTCCTGTTGTCACCTCTGCCAGCGCACAGCAGCGTGCCCCTGACAGACGACCAGTCCCTCAAGCCCGAGCTGGTGCTTCACCTGGAGCTGAGCAGCGCCTCGGCCACGGTGCTGCACATCGACCCACTGCCCAGCACCACGGGCGGCTCCGTGGGCGGGGACCAGGGCGCGGGGGGAGAGGGGTTGGGGGATGGTGCCCTCCAACCCCCCGAGGGCCCTCTCGCCGCCATGTCGCGCCAGTTCTTCCGGGAGATGGAGGAGTTCGGCGGGAAAGACTTTGCGCAGCTGAGAGAAAAGTTTGCAAAGGCGTGCCCACATGACCACTTCAGGTACTGGCGGCTATGAGACCTTATGATAGGAGATGGCCGATGATGGTGCTCATTATAAGGAAGCATACCACACCTATGCTTGTGTCTCTCCGTTCGCTCGCAGTTGAAACCTGGGCATGTATGTATGTTGAACTTCTTTAGCACCGTACGCCGCTAACCATGCTCATCGAAGGTGCGGGGGAAGAACAACAAACTAAACACAAAACGCAGTTCTAAAGAAATTAGTTTTCAATTTAGATTTAAAAGTGCATAGCTCCAGTGGCTCCCTTAATATTGGAAGGAAGAGCGTTCTAGATGGCTGCAGAAGCGCATCTGAAAGTCGATGCAGTGACCGTCTTTGTTTGATGGCCAGCCAAAAGCCGCTCTGAGGATGACCGGAGTTCGTGTGATGATTCTCTTGGGCTTGCTTCACCCTAGACCAACGAGTTGATTAAAAAAACGCAATCCTCTGAGCTCTGAAATCTCCTGATTTTGCCCTACGCAACCTACCAGGCTCCAGACTTTCATCCTGGGGTGATCGGACTTTTGTCTGCCCAGCACCCAGACTCTGGAATCCCCTGCCCTCATCTCTAGTTTTACAACTCGTCCCATTCCTTCTTTCTCTTCCACCTTTACATCCATTGAGCTCTGAGATCCATTGCCGATGTGCACCCTATAAATCTAAATTATTTTTACTTTTGTAACCTCAGGTTCTACCACTTCTTGCTGTGGCCCATGGGCATTGTTATTGATGACGGTGGTGGCGGTGGTGGTGGTGGTGGTGCTGGGGCATTATTGATTAGGGATGGACTGATCTCACGATTGAAATCAATCCTCTTTCATGTGGCATGTGAAAATTGAACAGACTGTAATTGTCATACTATATTAAAAAAAAATGTCTGGCTGACTGGCTAGAGGCCATGGACCGCCTAGCATGTAGAGGGGGGGAGGGGGTGTGCGAGTGGCTGGCACACAGGTGGGGGCGTGTGATGGGCGGGTGTGGGTGCCTATGGGAATCACGAGTGAGTGGTGCGGAGGGGGTGGGGGTCTTGGGGGTGCCCACATGTGGAGGGGTGTACGAGGAGGGGCCCACAGGTGGGATTGGCATGTTTGGCTATGTACGGTGCGAAACAAGTTCAACATACATACAAACATACTCGCTAAGTGTTGTGGCATCGCGTCTGATGTTCGATAGCGGGATGTTTGCGAGTCACTGCAGCGTATATTTGAGGGAGTTGCTCACCACACGCGGCAGCGCAGCCAGCATTGATTTGCGTCAACGAGCCCGACGTGAGAGCCGTTGTTCCAGACCTGAGCCTGCGTTGGTGTCCAAAAGGTCCCAGCGCAGCATGCCCTGGGAATTCCCTGCCAGCTTTTGGATGACATTGACCCTAAATTTCACGTTCTTGCCAGTGGCTTCGGTGTTGGTGATAGCAGAGAGTGGAGGGGGGTGTACAGCCCCTAAACGTTGCTGTGCGGTCACAAGACGGTCAGAACCAACGCAGGTTTCGTCCTACTTAGAACTGGAATTTAGCCAAACACTCACGCGGGTACGCCCGCACGTGAACACTGCGCGTCGTTCCAACCCCGTGCCCTACCCCTCCCCGCTCCCAGGCTGGTGGGCACTTCGGTGCGCACGACGGTGAAGCAGCACGTGGGCGTGGCGGGGCGGCAGCAGGAGGCCAAGGTGTCGGTGGGCTCGCTCGAGGTGCTGGAGTGTCTGTTTGAGACGCAGGACCCGGCCAGCCTACTGGTGAACATCAACGAGCCGCAGTACACCGAGGTGCGCACATGAGCATGCATGCACGCGAACATGTGAGCACATGCCCCCACTCGTATCTGTGTGGGTCTGCGAGCTTGGAGTGCTGCACCTGGCCTGGCAGAAGCTCTGTAGTGACGTCACTGCCACTTATTGGCGAATGGTGGCTGTTTTTGTTGGTGTTGGGAGCAAGAGTGAAAATATGTGAGTGTGTGAGTGACTGGTGGTATTGGTGAGTGTGAGTGTCTGAGTGTGTGTGACTGGTTGCATGGGTCAGAGTAAGTATATGTGAGTGTGTGAGTGACTGAGGGTATGGGTGAGTGTGAGTGAGTGTGTCTGGAGTATGTGTGACTGGGAGCATGGGTGAGAGTGATTTTATGTATCTTCTGCCCATGTGTATGCGTGTGCACAGGTGCTGGCGTTTGAGTATGGGGACGAGGGAATAGAGCAAGGGGAGACTGAACCATCCCCTTGCCTGCGCGTGTTGTACAATAGCCTGCAGCAGACGTCCGTGCAGGTACACATAGCACACCTCCAGAGAGGTACACACATACCACTCCTCCACATACTCAACAACAACAAACTGCCATATGCCACTAAATTGCGGTGATATCACCATGACATATGTGCCAGGATAGGTGCACTCTGAGGACACATGATTTGTAGAAGGCTCTCTGGCAGGAGGTCACGGGTCAGACCCAGGTGCCATGAGTTGACTGACTGAGATGACTGGCAGATGCACCACCTGTACTCCCTACTGTGCCAGCTTGCTGTTGCCCGACCCACTCGGGCATTAGTCATCCAAAAGGATGACTCTCTTTCAATGGGCCACTTTTGTCAGTACTTGGGACAGGAGGTAATATAAGTCATCTGACTCATCAGCCTTACCTACATCCCTCCACCGATATTCATCTCCAGTGGGGGCTAAAGCCACCACCACCATCACCATTCCTCGCCTCCCGTTGATGTGGAGGTTCAGTCTTTTGGCTCTGCCAAATGGGGTTTGGCCTTGAGACGTCATCGACGCCTATCCCCCCCCCCTCCCCCGGGGCCTCCGGCACAAGCGAAGTTTGATCTTTTGCACGTGGTTTTGTAGTAATTAAATTAATGGTGTGGGAGTCACCAGCCCCTCGTTCCCGTCCAGAGGCCCCATAGGCCACTTTAACAGCTGTCCGCGCCTTGAGGGTAACAGTTGATTAGTATCAGCCTTCACCCAATGGCATTGCTCACAGCCACCACAGCGTTACCGACTTGCAACCACTGAGGAGGTGGGGTTATTGCCCGTCACACAGCACACCTCCACACACACACCACCCCCACACAGGCGCTATATCCTGACTGTCCAGGAGAATACAATACAGCAAAAAATGTGGACTCAAGCATTCCGTCAGTATGGAATAGAATGTTCCCCCCTCGCATGCATGGGTTTTCTCTGGGTGCTCCGGATTCCTCCCACGTAAACACAATTGTTGGCACCGGCTCAACGCATGGCCGCTGCCTTCCTGTCTGTTTGTGGTTCCTCTTCACACCTCCAAGTCGTTCTCTCTCCGAGAGCGAGCAAATACTCTGCATGTTGTCAGTTGAAAATATAAATATATGTGGGCTTGTCTCGATGTATGTGTGTATGCACGTATAATGTTATCCTGCTACAGGCTAGTAGATTCATGCGTAGGTGTAATTAATATTGCATATAATGTTAATCATTGCCCAGATATATTTGTATAAGATTAGAGTAAATTAAGTTACAGTGGTTAAAATGTACATTACATTTTATTGGTTGTTCCTGTTATGTTATTGCATATATATAATAAGTTGGGTTAGGTGACTTAGAGTTGTTGGTTTCAAGTGAAAAGTCACATATTTGGTGTCTGCTAAATCACGTGACAATTTAATTGGTTTGACTGTGTCGGGTGGTGGATGGCCTTTACAACACAAATATGGATAAATCATTATATTGCCTTAACTCAAATCTATTTTGAAATCGCTTGTGCGTGTGCGCATATGTGGAGGGTGTGGGGAGCAGTAGCATAGTGGTTAGTGTGCTGCGCTACGAACATGATGACCCGAATTCGAGTCCCGCTCACGGCCAACACCAGTGACTATTATCTGACCTGGTTCTGGGCGTCCTCTCCGTCGAATAAGCCTCAAACAAATACCTGGTGCGGTGTGTAAACATCGCAACTGGGGAGACAAAGGGGGCCGAGCGTGGCTACACACCCCCTCGTGTGCCTTGCCGGTCTTTATGGGTGCTCACTAACAGCATTTGCCCCAACAGTCTGTTTAAGACTATATGGGGGATCTTTGTCCTTGTGTGTGTGTGTGTAGGGTGGACGCGGCAGAGGCTCCACCCCAGCTCCCAAGGCGACCCTCACAGTCGACCTGGGCCGTGCGAAGTGTGAATTTGACATCAGTGTCGTCGACCGATTGAGCTCCGTGCTGCACCCGCAGCCCACACAGAGCGGGGAGACAATGAGCTCTCACATGTACATGTCCTACAACCCATTGACCAGCATGGTGAGAGCCCACACACACACACATGTTCTACAACTCATGTCCCACACACACATCCTACAACTCCTGTCCCACACACACATCGTACAACTCATGCCCCACACACACACACATCCTACAACTCATCCCCCATACACACACACACATCCTACAACTCACACACACATCCTACAACTCATCCCCCACACACACACACATCCTACAACTCCTGTCCCACACACACACACATCGTACAACTCATGCCCCACACACACACACATCCTACAACTCATCCCCCACACACACATCTTACAACTCCTGTCCCACACACACACACATCCTACAACTCATGTCCCACACACATCCTACGACTCATGTCCCACACACACACACGCGTTCTACAACTCATGTCCTACACACACACACATCCTACAACTCATGTCCCACACACACACACATCCTACAACTCATCCCCCACACACACACATCCTACAACTCATCCCCCACACACACACATCCTACAACTCATCCCCCACACACACACACATCCTACAACTCATGTCCCACACACATCCTACAACTCATGTCCCACACACATCCTACAACTCATCTCCCACACACACATCCTACAACTCATGTCCCACACACACACACACATCCTACAACTCATGTCCCACACACATCCTACAACTCATGTCCCACACACACACACGTCTACAACTCATGTCCCACACACACACACATCCTACAACTCATGTCCCACACACATCCTACAACTCATGTCCCACACACACACACGTCTACAACTCATGTCCCACACACACACACATCCTACAACTCATGTCCCACACACATCCTACAACTCATGTCCCATACACACACACATCCTACAACTCATGTTCCACACACACACATCCTACAACTCATGTCCCACACACACACATCCTACAACCCAATCACCAGCATAGCGAGGTCCCGTAGACAGCTGTGCTCAGCACGCCACTGTCATCTGTCCAATGCGTTCAGAGCAAGGGCTCCCAATCGTGGGCCCGTGGCCCTCATGGGCTCCGGACATCATGAGGAGTGCCGCTTCAACTCTGAACGCTGCCTGCCCGCCCTGTCCCGTTCCCGTCTCGCCTCCCGCGCAGACGCGCGCCTTCACGCAGGTGCTGATGGACGACGAGGCCTCCGCGGCCGCCGAGCGGCGCACGACGCTGGTGGCTCGCGCCCCGTCTCTCCGTCTCGCCGTGCGCTTCCCCATCCCGGACCTGCGGCCGCTGCAGGAGCGGGGGCCGTGGTTCCGCAAGTCGCTGCGGCCCGAGGTGCTGCGCATCGACCTCACCGAGCTGGACCTGCAAGCAGAGCTGGGCGGCGGAGCGGCCGTGGCGGTCGGCTCTGCCGACCGGCGGCACTACCACCTGCAGTTCCGCGAGCTGCACGGTGACGCTCGCACGAATGTATTGTTATAACCCGCCACCACCCGACACAGCCAACTATTAAGGGGTTGTTACGTGACAACCCCTTACTAGTTGGCTGTGTCGGGTGGTGGCGGGTTTTAACGACACATTTATATATTTACGCGATCTAACCCAAAAACCTCTATTATGGAAGTAGTGTAGTGGGTTAGCACACTGTGCAACAAACCGGGCAACCCCAGTTTGATTCCTGTTTGCGGCTAATGGATTAGCTAGGATTGGAATCTTTCCTCTCCTACCAATACCAAGGGGAAATCTGTGAAAAGAGCTCCATAGCTCATCGGATTACACCAGTCGAAATGAATATTCTGATAAATAAATATTCTGATTCTGAAACGGGTGACGTTCAGTCCTGTGACTTGCAGATGCTCCAGCTGCGTTGGTTTCCACTCCTGATCTTGCCAGAAACCTGTTCTCCCCAGATTGAGTGAGGAGCTCGCAGATCCTTGAAAAATCTGGACACAATCCCAATGAGCTTCTCCAGCAGGTGTGCATGCGTTAGCTGGGTCATGTTTCTTATTTTCAGCCACTGCATGCCCGACCAGCTACCGTTCAGTTGGGTTGAATGGACTAAACTGGGCACTGCATTGGCTAGGGAGAAGATGGGCTGCTGTGGTTCAGGAGAATATGGAGCTGATTGGTTAGCCAACGACTGGTATCAGCGGTGTCAAGATGGGTATCTGTGGTGGAGGCTCGTGATAGACGCTACTGGGCAGTTGGATGCAGTTGCCGTTGACTGGCAATTTTAGGGTCTTCATTTGCCTCTGCAGGAGGCTGGTGAAAGATGCTACTGAGCTATCGGCTGCAGCCACCCTCCAGCAACACCTTTGAGGAGCAGTGCTCACAACAATGAGCAGAGTGTCATGTGACTACAACTTTAAATTCACTCTGTGGAAAACAAAAAAATGCTTTCACATGGTGCCATAGAGACAATAACATTGATGCATGGAATCAATCTTGCACCGTTCAACTGCAAGGGTTTACTGATGGCGTTCATGCGGTTTGTCCGTTGTGTGCAGGCTTGTTTGAGGAGGGTGGAATGCGCCCGCCGGTCCCGTTCCTACGCGTGTCCCCTCCAGAGGCCGAGCTCAACTCAAGCTCGGAGCATGCGCGCTTTGACTGGCCACGGTACAGCTCGGGTTCATGGGGTCACGGGTCATGGGGTTTTGGGGTCGGGAGTGCAAAAAGAGGTCAAATTACACCATGAGATTAGCACAGCAGTAAATTGACGTATTGGCGGTACACCGGTGCAGCCTAACAACACACAGGTCCTCATAAAACAGTGACGATGCCGCTGTTGCCCTTGAGTGAGCTGCAGGACTCTCTTTCATATCTTGTCTCAGATTAAGCAGCTGCTTTCCCATTTGAACATATGATGACACCACGAGTCGTAATCTTTTGACGCCACCGTCCACAAAGAAATTAATGCGGAAATTAATCGAGGAACCGTCTGACCAAGTCCAGGGCACGAGGAGTCAAATCTGCCGTTAGAACACGGAGCAGCCAATCATCACGAGGCTGGGTGCTGCTAGACGGCAACAGACTGTGAAGCTTCGTGTTCAGCCGCTCACGTAACGTTCATCTTCCGACTGTTTCGACATCACGAGAAGTGATTTTAATTCGCACTACCATCACCCCGCAATATTTTCTGACCGGTGTTGCAAATTGTGGGAAAATAAATCATTATTGCGCAAAAATTTGCTGCTTTTTGTTTTTCCACACACCACCGGTGTGCCGCCAATACGTTCAAATGTAATTCTTGTCTAATTTTATTTCTGTCCTTCCAGCAAACACTTCAGTCCGATATGGCTCAAAGACATTAGTTGGAGATATTGGCACATCTTTGCGAACAAATTGGATACAAAAAATATCATTAGTTGACACGTGAATCTGTCCCCAAAGTCCTCTCCCTGTTCAAACGAACAATGGGGCAGCACTTATCTCTGTTATAGAGGCGTTGACCTAGTGGTGGAAAGTTTGCCTTGTATGTATGTGGAACTTCTTTCCCACAGTACGTCGCTAACCATGCTCATCGGAAGTGTGGTGGAAGGCCTGCAGACTTCAACAAAAAACTGTTCTAAAGAAATGTGTTTTCTATCTAGATGATTTGAAAGTGCATAGCTCTAGTGACTTGCTAATATTGGAAGGAAGAGCGTTCCAGATGGCCGCAGAAGCGCATCTGAAAGCGTGCGATGGAGTAACCATCCTTCTCGTGAGTTGACTCGGTAGATTTTTAAGGGAGTATTGTTCCAGTTGCAGGATTGGGGCAACTGCACTGCCATAGAATCCATGACAATCTTGATTTGAAGCTTTCGTGACTGCAGGAATTCATACTCTTTGGTTCTTTCGGTAAAGTCACGTAGGTATGAAAGAAAATAAATCACGACGTTTCGATCGCAACACAAGTGGTCGTCCTCAGGCGGAATTCTTTTTAAATCCAGCAGTGGGGAACTGCTGAACCAGCGAGAGAGCAGTTACAACAACAAGGTTATATATGTGGCGATGGGCAAGCAAGCGGGGTCTGAGCTGGAAATGAATTCCATTCACGGACGCAAGCACGTCAGTATAACCTTGTTGTAACTGCTCCCTCGCTGGTTCAGCAGTTCCTCACTGCTGGATTAAAAAAATTCCGCCTGAGGACGACCGCTTGTGTTGCGATCGAAACGTCGAGATTTATTTTATTTTATACCTACGTGACTTTACCGAAAGAACCAAAGAGTATGAATCCATGACAAGTACAACAGTAAATGATTGCGTGTACAAATAAGATGTGAATGTAACAATGAGAACCACGTTGTGGGCTGCCTTCCTGCACCTCAGGGCGTGTCACCCGCGATAAGCCACATACATCTCATCTCCAACATGCTTTAAAGTGCACCACCAGTGGCAGCTGTCCCTGTACAGCACCAAGTGACTGAGCACGTGGCCTGCAAGAGGATACTAGTCCACCAATAGGGGGAGATCATTTCTGCTTTTGGTTTTTTGGCACAGGTAAATCCCATTGGACAATATATTCTCATTTTCGATGGGGACCTGGTTACAGAAACCTGGTGAGAATTATAAAACAAAAACAACGGTACACGGTCAGGTTGTGAATGACAAGGTCGTGCAACCAGAATGAAGAATGCAAGGCTGGTAGAATGCATCACATGCACAAAATATTTGGTGCAGAACAGATTTCAGTTGGGTGATTTACAGGTCATATCTTTTTTTGGTAAATTTGGACCATGACACTGGCACACGATCATCTCATTTCAAATGAAGTCACGGGACCTTTGACGTCGACCATAAAGCAGAGTGAGTAGTGTATTTATGTTTAATACACACTGCATTAATAGCCTGGGCAGGCTGCCGGATTAAAAGTGCAAACCTCTGTTGTATCAAGCGGCGAGCTCGAGATGGGTGACCAGGGGGAGCAGTAGTGTGATGGTTAGTGCGCTTTGCAATGAACCCAGAGAGCTGAGTTCGATTCCTGCTCACTATTATTTGAACTGGTCCTAGGCCTCCCTAGGTGAACTTAGCCTCAAATTAGTACCTGGTGTGATGTATAAACATTGCCACGAGGGAGACAAAGGCGGTTGAACATGGTGATGGCCACCCACCCCCTCGTGTGTCGTTCCAGCCTTCGTAGGGTGCTACTTGCTACAGCACTTGCCACAACAGTCTGTCAAGGCTATACGGGGGATCTTTGTATGTGTGTGAGTGTGTGTGCAAGGATGCTACTGCGCAGTTTACAGGCAGCCGCCCTCCTCCACCACCAGCGGAGGAGGAGTAGGGCGGAGGAGCGGAACTCACAACGAGCAGAGCATCAGGCAGCTCGTAGGGTTAGGGGTGTCTGTTTATCATACGCTACAGTGCCGGCCTTCATCAGTGCTACTCGCTACTAACAGCACTTGCCTCCAACAGTCTGTTAAGACTACTTGTGGGGATCTTTTCCTTTGGTGTGTGTCTCCCCCCCCCCCCCCCCTGCGCGCAGGGTGGTGCTGAGCGTGAACTCGCAGGCGGAGCGCTCCGTGCTGGAGCCGGCTCTGGATATGGCCGACGAGCCCCCGCAGGGTTCCCTGGACGACGCCTGCACCCTCAACGGCTCCGCTGAGCCGTCACCGTTCTCCTCGCGCCGCGTCATGTTCGAGAACGAGGAGGTGCGCCCTGTGGTGTGCCGTCGCCAGCGCCTGGGAGACGCGCGGGGGGTGGCCGCCACCGGTGCTGGCCAAAGACTAAGATCCCCCGTATAGCCTTAACAGACTGTAGGGTCAAGTGCTGTTAACGGTACACGAGGGGGTGGGTGGCCAGCACCACGCCCGACCGCCTTTGTCTCCCCAGTGGCGATGTTTATACACTGCACCAGGTACTCAGGCTGAATCGACTTAGGGGAGACCCAGGACCGGTTCAGATAATCGTCACTGGTGTTGGCCGTGAGCGGGAATGGAACCCGGGTTCCAGAGTTCATAGTGCAGCGCGCTAACCGCTACACTACCGCTCCCCACACACTCACACACACACGAAGACAAAGATATGAGCACCAAGTACTCATATCAGGCTGAGTCGACTTAGGGGAGGCCCAGGACCGGTTGAGATAATCGTCACTGGTGTTGGCCGTGGTATACAGAAGATTGTGGGTTCGATCTTGACCCTGACGCCTGTATATTTGGAGTTTGCATGGTCTCCTCATGGTCGTGTGGATTTTTTTCTAGGTCCTCCAGGTTTTTCCCTCCACATTTATAAACAAGCATTTAGAGTATTTGGCTGCCTTACGTTTCCACATTATAAGCCACTTTGTTGAGCAATCATTTGTGGCCAGGTCGCTTCTGAAAAAGAGCTCTATAGCTCGGTGGGCCTTACCTGGTAAAATAAAAAATAGTTTAGTTTAGTAAAGCCTGTGCCTGCGTGTCCTGCATGCGCAGATGGTGATGCCGGGGGATGCTGCGGAAATGCTGGAGTTCCAGGAGAAGGCGATGGGTGACTCTCACTTCGTGCTGGAGCTCACACTGCCCAACCTCAACGTGATGCTGCCCAGCAAAGCATTCTACGAGCGCCTCTACAACCGGTAGAGACGACACAGCGCGTGGCTCAGCGGAGGATACAACGCAACAAGACAGACACTCCCCCTATCGTAGATGTGCACATGTGCCCGCGTGTCGTGTGTCGGGGTGCCCGTGTGTCTATGTGTCCCTGTGCCATGTGGCCACATGTCCGTGTGCCTGTGTCTCCCTGTGCACATGTACACATGTGCCCGGGTGTCGGTCATGGGCACAGGGCAGTAGGCAAGGCTACGTTGGCTGGATCATGTAGCCCGTATGCCCAGCCATCGCATGCCCTAACAGCTTTTGTTTGGCCAGATAGAGGAGGCTAAACGGGCGTGGCACGGGCTAGAGAAGAGATGGACTGATATGAAGGATATGGAGGACGTGGAGCTGAGTGGACTTGTCATTGACTGGTACCAGTGATGTCAAGATCAGCCTCTGTGGAGGAGGTTTGTGAAGGACGCTACTGGGCAGTTGGAGGCAGTCGCCCTCCAACAACAACTGAGGGGGCAGAGGAGCCACCCTCCCAACAATGAGAGGAGTGCCAGGCGGTTAAAACACAGCATGTTGGTACAGTAGGGGGCACAGGTGGTGTATCTACTATTCATCTCAGTCAACCCATAGCAACTTGTATTTGTCCCGTGACCTCCTGCAACACTTCATGTGGCCTCAAAGTGCACATAGCCCGGCACAAGCGCCGCGGTGATGTCACCGCCACTTAATTGCGAATGACGGCGGTTGTCATCGTCGTCGTTTTTGTTGTTGTGTCTGTCGCCAGCATCAACAACAACCTGCTGCTGTGGGAGCCGGCGGCGCCGCTGCCGTTGGAGACTGTGGAGAGCGCGGTGCTGGGCCCCGGCGGGGGTGGCCCGCCAGGCCTGTCAGTGGCGAGCCAGCTCATCAGCTCCTCCTTCAATCACGACGCGTTCCTGCTCTGCAAGTCGGGCATGCACGACGGTACCCGCCCTGTCCACGGCCCCAGCGCTAGGGTCACGTTAACACTGTGGCACTGCCCCTAGCCCAGATCTAAACACTCGTGTGGCAGTAGCCCAACTTACGTCTCTCCCCCTTTTACATCGTCTCGCAAATACGCAGTCGCTTTATTTACTTCTTTAAATGGTTTTATTGGCGACAGTGGTAATAACTATACGCTGATCGCCATTGGACGGAGAACAGAAACTCCGTGAAAGGCAACTTCGAATTCGAGTGCGGCGGGACCGTGCTTAGGTAATTGGACTCGCTGCCCCAGCCAAGTAGGGGACCACGCGCAGGGACATGAGGATTATTTACAAGGGGAGGGAGAAGGGGAACGGGGAAAGGTAACATAGTGAGGGAAGTCCAAGGGTGCGCCGTCGTCACTTTATTTTTAACACCACTGCCTGATTTGCATCGTCCTCAACCCCACACTTCCATCGCTGACACCATCATCCTCCGTTCTTTCTCCTATCCGTCGCATCTCAGCCTTCGCCTCCAACCTACCCTCTTACACGAACTAATTAGCGTCGCGCATGTACTGGAGAGCTTCTGACCTGGCAGAGTCCCCTCACGTGCCTGCCGCGTTCCTCACACAGGTGACTCGGAGTCGGGCTCCGAGGACGACGATGACCTGGGGGGGTTTATGGGGGGGGGCGATGCCATGTGGCGTCACCCGCGACGGAGGAGAGCGGGCGGCATGGGTGGCCTGGGCCTCGCGGACGCCGGCGGAGCAGTGGGACCAGGAGGAGGTGGAGGAGGCGGTTGCGGTGGTCGTCGCAAGCAGAGTTTATTCTCCATGCTCGTCAACATCGGCCGCGGGCGCGTCACGGCGCACACCGCCACCAAGGCGAGCGTGCGTGTGTGTATGTAGATAGGTTCGTGTGTCTGCGTGCGAGGGTGTGCGCGTGTCTTTGTGTTCGAATGAGAATGTGTGCGTGTTAGAGTCTGGATAAGCATGTTAATCTTTGTGTGTGTGCTTATTTTTTGTGTCTTGTGTGCACCTGTGTGGCTGGCAAAAACAACCTCCCACCTTCTCGGTGGTTGCCAATTCACAACACTGGCGTGCTGTGAGCAATCCCTTGGGGGGGGGGGGGGGGAAGCTGATACTAATTGGCTGTTACCCTCATGGCATGCTTGCAGCAGCCACAGTGGCCAATGACGACTCTGAACGGGTGTGAGAGGGGCAGGTGACTCCTCTACCTTCAACTAAATCGCGATAAAAACACGAAGAGCTCAAACTCGGCTTGTTCTGCAGGCAACATTAGGAAACCACTGCACCTTGCCATGTGGAATGTTTGAACAGGGGAGAGGCTGCCAATCCTTTGTCAGGAGCTGGACCAGTACCACCTTGACCTCTGTGGAATACAGGAGGTCCAGTGGGCTGGTTCTCACTCCAATCACCATGAAGGGTGGACTCTACTCCACTTGGGGTGGAAAACTGCTAAACAACAGGGAGTTGCTCTTCTTCTGAACAAAGTAATGAAGGGGGCGTGGGAGCATGGCGGCGAGGTGTGGGAAGCTGTGAGTGCCAGGCTGCTGTGAGATCGCCTCCCCATCAACGGGATGCGGGCACCACGGTGGTCAACATGACCATCAGTGGAGGGATGCAGACAAGGCTAATGAGTCAGATGCCTTCTATGTGTGTGTGTATATATAGCAGTAGTGTCACTGTTATCGCGCTGTGCTACGAACCCAGTAACCAGAGTTCAATTCCCGCTCACGGCCAACACCAGTGATGGTTATCTGAACCAGTCCTGGGCCTCCCCTTGGTCGTCTCAGCCTCAATGAGTACCTAGTGCGGTGTGAAACATCCCCACTCGGGAGATACAGGCGGCCGGGCGTGGTGCTGGCCACCCACCCCCTGGTGTGCCTTGCCGGCCTTCATAGGTGCTTGCTAACAGCACTTGCCCCAACAGTCTGTTATAGGCTATATGGGGGATCTTTTTTAGTGCGTATGTGTATTTAGTGTGTGTATAGTGTGCGTGTGTATATATAGTGTGTATACCGTATTTTCCTATATATAACCCGCGGAGTATACCACTTTTTACAAACAAAACAAGACCATGCGTGGTATATGGAGGTGCGGGCTATTCCAAAAATATTTTACACGTGTGACATGTCATAACTCATGGTAGGACTATCCACTATGCAACACTTACCTTTGACTAAAGCACTGCTGAATAAACCACTCACACTAAAATTGTACATGTTATCACGTTTTAAATGATTCGAATTGTTTGTACAATGAAACGACAATGTTTGAAGTGGGCGGGAGAGCTGCTGAGGCATTCTTTCCTGCCTCAGCAGCTCTCCCGCTATATTTTTCACCTGATGATGATTGCTTGTGTTGCGATCGAAACGTCGTGATATTGTTATTATTTTTATATCTACGTGGCTTTACCGAAAGACCAAAAGAATATATAGTGTTTTTGTGTGTATATATAGTATATATAGTGTGCGTATATAATGTTGTTGTATATTGTTTGTGCGCTGCGTTTCCCCCAGGACGAGGAAGGCCGTGTGGCGTGTGGCCGGCACGGCGAGGTGAGCGTGGACGTGGAGGGCACCAGCGTGTTCAGCGTGGTGCAGCATGCCGGCCGGCCCGACTTGCGCTACGTGTGCATGCAGGCCAACCGCGTGGGCCTGCATCACCGTGGTACTTCCGCCCCCTCTTCTCGCCTCGTCCACCCGCTCCCCTCGCTCACCCCCGGGGCTCGTGCCGGTCGTCGGGAGCAGCGCTAGACTCACGGTCGTAAGGTCACGAGGTCGGAGCACGGTCGGGGGGCGACTTTGTCCTGCAGACCTCTGCGGTTGTTAAAATGATGACCGTAAAATTAATCTTTGACAGCTGTGAAGTGAGTGCGTGGGTTGACACATGAACACGTGTGAATGATTCTTGTCCTCCTCTCAATACCAGATGCTGAGAGAGATTGGTGCATGCTTTTATTTCATCGAGACTTGATTATAGTAATACCCTGTTTAGTCGTGCAACTGGGAATGTTTTAAATCGGTTGCAGCTTGTGCAAAACTCTGCTGTCCGGGGATTTGTATGGAGTGAGGAAATGTGAGCACATCACACCTACTCCTCGTTCCCTGCCTTGGCTTCCAGTCAAATACAAAATTTAATTTTAAGATGTTGTCCTGGCCTCCAAGGTCTTGAAAGAGTTCAGCTCCATTATATCTCGGTGATCTGCTGAAACCGTATACTCCTGTCCGGTAACTTTGATTCACCAAATCTGGGCACCTGAGTGTACCAAGGACAAATCTGCGTTCAGTGGGTGATGATAGGGTGTTCTGTAGTCAGGTGCTTCGTTTGTGGAATGTCTGGCCCCAGTTCATTATGGACGCTCCGTCAGTCGAGGTTTTTAGGGCTCGTCTGAAAACACGTTTATTTTCTCTTGTGTACCCGTCTGTGTCGGGTTGTTTCCTTGTCGTTTTAATGTTAAGGGTTTTTACTGGGATTGTGTAGTAAGGCGCCGTGAGTTGTGTGAATGGCACTATACTTAACTGAGTTTTACTTCATATTCGAGCTTGGGGCACCTCTACAGCAAAGGGGCATTTGGAACCTGCAATTAGAATTCCCTGACTTGTAGCCAACATCCATAATTGGAGATAAATATATATTTTATTTAAATAACTACATTTATGCTTCCAAATTGTCCGGATAAAATATTACAGATAATTAAATATGACAGCGCCCTTTTAGGATTTGGCCACATAGTGATCTAGCCACGTGTTTTGTTGTAAGATCCTCCGCATGTAGCGAGCACATTATCATTGTTTCAGCTCACTGGTAAGTTGAGGAATATTTCTCACAACCAAATTGACAGATGGGGTACAAATTTTCACTTGAAACTGCGTCACGCGTCTTCAGGTAGAAAATAGGAAGTCAGTGTTGGCTGCGATAACTTCCATATTTCCCGTACCCCCCCTCCCAGCCAGCGTAGAGAATACCCAGAACCCCCCTCGCGGCAGAATGGAAGCCGCCCCACGCTCCCCACCTCCAGGCATGGAGCAGACCATCTACCGCTCAGAGGAGGGGGTGTTGGGGCGCGCCACAGGACCGGTGGGCACTGGCGGTGACTCTCTGAACATGCTGGCCCTGGCCATCAAGATCAGCGCTGACCCCAATATGGAGAAGCTGAAGGTGTGAGTCGTGTGCACTCGCATGCGAGCACACACCTGCAGCACACTGATGCCACAAACAAACACAGGTATCCCCCGTGTCGCCTTAACAGACTTTTCGGGCAAGTGCTGTTAGCAGCGGCTTTTCAGATGCGCTTCTGCGGCCTTCTGGAATGCTCTTCCCACCGAGAATAGGAAGCCACAGGAGCTATGCACTTTCAAATAATCTAGATAAAAAATATATTTTTAGAACTGCTTTTTGTGTTTAGTTTGTTTTCCACCTCCGATTAGCACGGTTGGTTACGTACGGTGCGAAAGAAGTTCCACATAAGTGCATATGAAGGCCGGCATCACCACGCCAGTGGCGATGTTTACACACTACACCAGGTAGTCACTTGAGGCTGAGTCGACCTAGGGAGAGGCCCAGGTCTGGTTCAGGTAATTGTCACTTGTGGCCGGATGTTAAAACACCGAATAGATACCTATCGCAAGGCATCAAGTCTGCATGTGTTCAACATCTTAACACCTGTTTTATTGCCACAAAGGGTAAAGCCTATTCTTATTTTGTTCATAATTTTTTACACTTGCAGCACACACATACATTTGGCACACACGCACATACGTACATACACACATGAACCATTTGGTTCGTGAGCACCTAATACAAATGGCATGACACACTCATGATGATTGCTGGTTGTGATGGTGAAGGTAATGATTTTGATAATGATGAGATGAATCATATTAATGGTAGTCATGATGACGTTCGTGATGATGGTGTTGATGATGTTAATGGTGGTGATGATGACGGCGTATGCAGGAGTTCTTGGTAGCCGTGGGGCTGCGTGGAGCCACTCTGCGCTACCGTCCGTCGCTCGCCGGGCAGAGCTGGCACGAGCAGGTGGAGTCACTTGCACGCGGAGGCACAGACACAGAGATGGACGCAGACGGTGATAATGATTTACTGATGTTGATTTGTGTTTCTGATAAAGCACCCTGCGACGTGCCAGGGTGGCTTAGAGCGCATTACATCTGACACCTCATCTCAAATGTTTAAAAGGGTTACCCCCAGCACCTGGCCTGCAAACGGGGCAAAATCTGGCAGTAGGACGATGATCGCTGCTATGTGTAATCCCAATTGAGTAAATTCCGGACGATTCTTTACTTACAAATTTGGTCCCTAGTGCTGGTTCAGAATCCCTTCCTCTTGTGAATGCATCAGGGGATCTTTAACGCCCACTGTGAAGCAGACGGCACATCGTATTATCGTGGTTATTACACCCCGATTATTATTACACCCGTGATAACCACCTGAAATAACCGTGGACGACCGCTGGATTTGAACCGTGAACGTCTGCATCAAGAGGGGGTGGGTGGCCAGCACCACGGCCGACCGCCTTTGTCTCCCCAGTGACGATGTTTACACACCGCACCAGTCACTTATTTGTGGCTGAGTCAACCTAGGGGAAGCCCAGGACCAGTTCAGATAATCGTCACTGGTGTTGGTCGTGAGCGTGAATCGAACTCGGGTCACCTGGTTTGTGCTGCCCGCTACACTACCGCTCCACTCTATACTGACACACAGACACGCATGCACAGACATGCACCCTCGCACCCATACACAGGTACAGCGCAGCGAGTCTCGCGCGTTGCCCAATGTCTCGACACCAACGTGGCAGTCGGTCACTGTGGCGAGGTTTTCGTGGCCGCTCGGTCCCCAACGCCCGCCGGGCCGGGGCGGTGCGAGCGGATAGCGCCGCTGCCTCCGCGGCCCCCCGCAGCTCGCGTGCCGCTCCCCACCGGGCGACTCGAGCGGGCGCTGTGCCACGCGCGGTGCAGGTGCTGGACTTCCTGGACGTGCGGGACGAGACGGTGCTGGGCTACTCGGCACCCGACGTCATCACGGTGCTGCACGCGCACCTGTGGAGCTGCGCCGTGGACTACAGGTGGAGATGCACCTAACCTTTGAGTGTGTGTGCGTGTGTGCCTGAGCATGTGTGTGTCTGCGTGTGTGCATGTGGGGAGCGATAGTGTAGAGGGAAGCGCACGGTGCTATGAACCCGGCGACCTGAGTTCGATTCCTGTTCACGGCCAATACCAGCGACGATTATTTGAGCCCGTCCTGGTGTCTGCCCTAAGTCGACTCAAATGAGTATCTGGTGCCGTGCGTAAAATCATCGCCACTGAGGAGCCAAAGACGGCCAGGAGTGGTGCTCGTCACCCACCCCCTCGTGTACAATGCCGGCCTTCATAGATTCTCGCTAACAGCACCTGTCCCTACAGTCTGTTAAGGCGACACGGGGGATCTCTGTCTTTTTTTGTATACAATTAATGCAAACAGTAGGGGGCGGTAGGGGAGTGGTTGGCACATTCATCTATGAACCCGGCGACTTGTGTTTGATTTCCAATCATTGGGAAATATGAGTGGCAAGCGATATTTGAACTGAACCTGGGCCTAACCTAGGTCATCTCAGCCAAAATGAGTATCTGCTGCGGTGCTTGTCCCACTGTTTTGTACAGCAGTTTGAAGTCGAGTTGCATGTGGGTGCTGTCTGTAGACCCACATAGCCATGTGGTTGTATTGTTTGTTTATTGATTTGTCTTTCCCTACACAGGCCCCAGTACCTTCCTCTCCGGGCGATGATCACGGCTGAGACGTTTAGCGTTTCCAGCAACATCATCGTCGACACATCTACCTCGTTACTACGGTAAACCTGTTAAGATCTGTCTTCCCCTCCCCGCTCTGTCCTCCTGCCTCGTGTGCCCTGTCACTACGTGTCACAATGCGTCACAGCGCGTCACAACTTCCCGCTCGCTCACTTCGTTGCTCAACGCGACGTCAAGCGGCTCCCAGCGTGCACCACCGCATGTTGCAAAGCATCCGGGGCCATGGCATTCCTTCCACATCAATGGAGGAGCGGGGGGGGACTCCAGTGTGGTTAACATCTCGGAGGCGAGATGTTAGCTACCTCGCCTGGTATAGGGAGAGCATGGGTATGATCCCGACCCTGTTGCTTGTAAAATTTGGAATTTGTATGTTTTCCTCATCGTCACTTGGATTTTTTCCAGGTCGTTTGGTTTTTTCCTTCCACGTTTAAAAACGTGCTTTTAGAGTGTTTGGTCCCAATAAATTTCCACGTGATAAGCCACTTCATTGAGCTTCCATTTGTGGCCAGGTCACTTCTCAAAAGAGGTAAGCAGCTCGGTGGGTGTTACCTGGTAAAATAAAAATGTGTTATAGTTTTAGTGTCTATCTTATCGTTAAAAAACTTGAAACTTGTGTTGGACATCTCGCATACAAAAATAATACCAGCTGTGCGATGGATAGCAGTGTCCTTTAGCGAGTGAACGAAACCTAATGAGAGGTGTCCGGTACCGTGGGGCCCATATGGGCGTTGGTCTTGACAGGTTCATCATCGACGACTCGGCGCTCTACCTCTCGGAAAAGATCAACGCCTCCTCCGTGGACCTCCGAAAAAGTAAGCGGAGAAGCAGAGATGGCAACGGCAGCAGCACGCGGAACCAGGGGCTCGTAACGGTGGCCATCACAGCTCTCGTAGACTCTTAACACGGCGAGTGCCGCACACTTGTAATGTTAACGCTGTGCGCCTCTCTTGGAGAAGATAGCCACAGCGAGGTGGCCGGGTGGCTCCCTCAGCTCATAATGGCCCTGTTAGTGCCGCTGCTTCAACGTTGCTTTTTGTGTTGGCTACGTGCGGTGCGAAAGAAGTTCAACATACTTTGCTGAGCTCCTGGCTCTAAAATAAATTCATTTCATTTGTTCCTGCGGTGTCTCTTCGTCCGACGAAGGGTTGTTTTTGTTGGCAACTCTCAAGAGCGAGAGGCGTAACGTCACACACCATAAATTCGCGGACTTTACCGTCCACTTGCTCTGGCAGCGCCGGCAGCGCTGGAGTGCGAGCGGCGTAAACGAGCGGACGCCCCTTGTCTTGTGTCTCAGACTACGTGTGCGTGCTGGACATGGGCCTCCTGGAGCTCCAGATCACCACCAGAAGCCCCTCCAAGGACTCCACCACCATGGTTTGTGTGTGCAGTCACGGGGATCCCCCGAGTTCCCCCGAGGTTCTACAAGTTACGTCACCCAAGGACGCCTGTGGCATTTCCAAAGTGACGTACTCTGATACCCAAATCTTTTTGCGATGGAATGTGTTTTACGTTTCTTTGGGTTGCGATGGTTTTCACTCTGAACCTGCAATCCAGAGGTCGCCGGTTCCATATCCTGGATAAGTTTATTAAATTTACCTTGGCCTCCGTTCACCTATCAGTGTAAATGGATACACTCCAGTTAGTCGCAAGTTGCGTGTGCTGGGGTAAATTGTGTGCACTTTCGCCTTTTCCAAGACATTTGGCCAGCATCGAAGAGTAGGCCAAAAATACCATCTTGAGGGTATTTGTATCTGTATATTATAGTGTGCGCATGTGTACATGTATGTGCTTGCATGCATAGTGATTATTGCGCTGCGCTACGAACCCGGCGACCCGAGGTCAATTTCGCTCACGGTTAACCTCTCTGACAAGTAGTTCAACCGGTCCCCTAGGTTGACTCAGCCTTTAATATTAGTACTTGGGGGCAGCGTGCAAACAATACCAATGGGAAGGCAAGGTGGCGGCCAGGCGTGGTTTTAGCGACACCTCACCCATCGTGTGCCGTACCAGCCTTCATAGGTGCTCGCTGACGACAGCACTTGCTCCTACAGTCTGTTAAGGCTACATGGGGGGGATCTTTGTCATTGGGCATGGGTTTTTCCGGTCTTAATAGGTGCTCTTTAATAGCACTTGTATGGCGGCTGTGTGTCTGTGTGTGCGGGGGCTGGTTTCTAAAACACAGCCAGGCTGTTGAGGCTACATGTGGTGTCTTTGTCGTTGGTCCTGTATGTGCGTGTGCAGACGCAGCCCAAGTTCGAGCTGTGCTGCTCCAACGACATCATCCACGTGCGCACGTGCGCCGACTCGTGCGCCGCTCTCATGAGGCTCATCCAGTATTTCGCCGGCGACGGGGACCTCGCCCCCCCACAGCGGCTGGAAGACCCCTCCGACCGGGCCCCCTCAAGTGTGCGTGTGTGCGTGCGTGTGGTGGCGCAGCGGTTTAGCGCCACTGCGCCACGGGCCCGGTGGCCCAAGTTCGATTCCCGCTCACTACCAACACCAGTGACAACTATCTGAACCGGTCCTGGGCTTCCCCGAGGTTGACTCAGCCTGAAATGAGTACCTGGTGCAGTGTGTAAACATTAGCACGGGGGAGACAAAGGCGGTCGGGCACAGTGTTGGCCACCCACCCCCTCGTGTGCTGTGCAGGCTTTCATTGGTGCTCACTAACATCACTTGCCCCAACAGTCTATTACAGGCTATACGGGGCGGGGTCTTTGTCATCAGGCATGGGTTTTCCCGGTCTTAATAGGTGCTCGTTAACAACACTTGTATGGCGACTATATGTCTGTGTGTGCAAGGACTGATTTCTGGAACACCTTCGCTGGATTGAAACGTGATTGCTGGCTTGCCTACAATCCACCGTGGGTTTAGCCAGGCTGGATGCTCGAGAGACCTTAGTCAATGTACCATCTGAGGGATCCTCCAGCAGGCGAGGATGTGGTGGCTGGGTCATGTAGTTCGCATGTGCCGTTCTTGTTTAAGGGGTTAAACACACCGAGGGTGCTCTAGGGGAAGCTACGCAAGCATGGCACGGGCTCGGAAAGAGACAGCCAGGTGCATTACAGGAGGACCTGGAGCTGAGTGGACTTGCTGATGGACTTGCTCGCGAAAGTTGCTACTGTCAGCAGTTGTCCTTCAGCAACAACATGAGGCTTCGTAACAATGCTCACAACATCTTGACTTAAAGCTTTCGTGACTGCAGGAATTCATATTCTTTGGGTCTTTTGGTAAAGTCACGTAGATAAAAAAAAATAACAATAAAATAATAAAAATGAAAATAAAGTTAATAAAAAATAATACAAATATCACAACGTTTCGATCGCAACACAAGCAATCGTCATCAGGAGAAAAAAGAGGGGGAAAGCTGCTGAGGCAGGCTGTTTTAAAGGTTTGAACTAGACAATTTAGACAAGACTCTCTTTAAATTACACTTAACATTGACAGAAAAAATGTCTACATCTGATTGGGAACATGTAGACAACATGACAGCCTCAATGTCAGCTAAATGCAAAGATAACCTGATTTCCAAGTTCAGTCGTCTTTACAAAAAGAAGCCAGATTCACACATTAAAAAGTTAGACGTTGACAAGATTGTTATCAATCAGAGTAACAGTCCAATTTCCGACGGCCGAAAACCGGTTTCTTGCTAAAGGGTTGAACTTCGCAATCATCCCTAAACACATCCCACTTGATGATATTATTACCCAGGTCGACGTTGCCCTTAAGGGTTTGGGACACATTCCTGCAGTCATGGCAAGATCAGAAATCGCTGCAAGCCTCAAAAATGCTAAGACACCTATTAGCAACATCAGTAAGGATGAGCGCTTTAAGCTTTCTCAATTCAAAAAGAGAGATGACATCGTCATCCTCTCAGCCGACAAGGGCAATGCCACTCTCATCATGGATAAAACCACATACAGTAACACAATTCAGGACCTATTTAATGATGGTAGCTATACCAAAATCAATAGAGATCCCACCAACCGCCTGGTTATGAAAACCAACAATATCACTGATTCGACATCTTTAATCGAACCAACCAAGCGGTTTTCCTTTAAACCCTCTGCTGCTAGACCACCCAGATTGTATGGATTACCAAAAATTCATAAAGAAGGTACACCCCTTCGTCCTATTGTCTCCACCATTGATTCTCCCACCTACAAACTGGCCCTATTTCTGTCTGAGACCTTACAACCATTCACTGGTAAGACCACCGCAGCTGTACTTAGCTCATGTGGTATCATTAACTAAGGACATCTCACCATCTCCAGGTGATTTGCTCGTAAGTTTCGATGTAGTATATTTGTTTACCAAAATTACTGTGCCTGACACCATTGCAATCATTGAAGATTTGGTCCAACAAGGACTGAATGCTAATGTACCAGCCCTGGTTAGACACTGCCTCACCAACACTTGCTTCACCTGGAATGGAACATTCTACAAACAAGTTGCAGGTACCCAAATGGGTTCTGCCTTATCTCAAGTTGTAGCCACTGTTTTCATGGAAAATGTTGAGACAGATGCCATCCAGGCATCCACTGTACGTCCGTCCTTGTGGAAGAGGTACGGAGATGACACGTTCGTCATCTGGCCACATGGCCTACCAGCTCTGAACCAATTCCTCAACCACATCAATTCCATACACCCAGCCATCAAATTCACCATGGAGGTGGAAAAGAATGGCAAGTTACCATTCTTGGATGTTTTAATCTACCTAAAACCTGACTCCCACCACCATCCATCCGAGAAGAATTCTCTCATCAAAACTCTACACCATAGAGCTCGATGTATTTCCAACCACCACCTAGCCAGTGAACTGGAACATGTACACCAAGCCCTCCAGATGATTGGATATTCAGACTACACAATCCGTAAAGCTATCACCCCAACCGTTGGGAAAGAACCATCTGAGGACCCAATCAAAACCATCACCTTGCCATACATAGCAGTGGTCATCAAAAATATTTCCAAATTCATAAGCAAACACAAGATCCAGGTTCGATTTAACACAGTGCACAACATTCGTGGTCTGACATGCAATAGCCTAGCGTCGACAAACTAAGCTTTGCCTGCGGCAGTAGTTATATTGGGGAAACTAAGCGACACGTCTCGGACCGTGTTCGTGAACATAAGGCAGATCTGAAACACGGTAGGACCAATACCTCAGCTGTGGCTGGTCATTGTTTTAATGCGGTGGGCTCACACGAAATTGATTTCTCCAAGATGAAGGTACTCTGCAAACCCACTGGCTATCAAAGATTCGTTCATGAAGCCATCCAGATATATAGACACAGACAATTTCAACCGAGAAGATGGGTACAAATTGAGCAATCATTGGAAGGACGTTATTAACCAATTTTAGTCATAACTGCTAACACCTTCCGATGTTAGCAGTTATTTTCGAATCTATGATTTTACATTAACAGGTTCACACTAACACAGCCGCCGTTGCTTGTGTCCTCGAGGTGGCGGCGTCTCTGCGATCTTACATTGACATGTTAATCTCTCACAATACAATGGCCACCTCCACACCCTCGTCGTTGAGGTAGCTCTCCGATCTTACATTTACATGCAAATTTCTCACTTTAACATCACTAGCCCTGCCAACTTTGTTTTTGACCCTTAGGCTACTCCCATTTCAAACCTTTAAAACAGCCTACCTCAGCAGGTTTCCCCCTCTTTTTTTCCTGATGACAATTGCTTGTGTTGTGATCAAAACGTCGTGATATTTTTATTATTTTGTATTCACTTTATTTTTATTTATTTTCAATCTACGTGACTTTACCGAAAGACCCAAAGAAAATGCTCATAACAGGCTGTCAGGTCAGTATGGTAGAAACCAATGCCTGGTGTCTGCGGGTCTCCGTGTCCGCGTGTGTGCGCACCTGGCGCTTGCGTGTGCAGCTGGACAGCCAAAGCCCTGTCGCAGCTCCATGCGCCGCTGCGCCTGATCCTGATCGATCGTCTCTCAGTGACCTCATGGTCGATGCCATGGAGGAGTCGGAGCCAGCAGGGTCTCCCCCCAACGTCCACACAAATGGTGTGCAACCGTGTGTTTAACTTGTCACATTTGTCACTACCTTGTAACAGAATAATATAAAGTTGGCCAGCGCTTCTCAAACTCTGGGTCATGGGGTTGCAAAACGTATTTGGAAGTCAAGGAAGGTCCGTTTCTTTATCAATGTGATTTTCATGTATTTTCATCTTTCCCCTCCTTGGATGTCTCGCTGCCCGAATCTTTCCTTTGTCTGTCTCTCTTTGCTCAATTCTCTCCCCACGTCTCCTCACTTCTCTCCCTGTGTTTCACCTCTTACCCTGTGGCTTTCTCAGTGACTTCTGTCCTATCACATCTCTTTCTTTGCATGTCAACATGTCTTTCCTCCTGTTTTTTTTCTCATCTTTTGCCTCATGTCTCCTCCAGTGCCTTTCCTCCTGTCTCGTCAATGTCTCCTCTCGTCTCGCTGTGTCTGCTCTTGTCTCACTGCATCTCTCGCCTTCCTTGCATTTCTCCTCGCTTGGTTCGCAGTTGCCTTGCTCTCCGTTTATTGCTTTTCATCGCCTGCGTATGCCCTTCCCTCACGTAGGCTTCGACGACTCGACGCAGCCGCAGTCGGGCGAGGAGCCGGTGTCCGACCTCTTCCTCTTCCCGGACGAGAACGGCTCGAAGGCATCGCGGGCCGCCGGCGGCGGTGCCGCCCCCCCCACGGCGGGGCGACCGTCGCACGCACGGCCGTCGCACAAGAAGACCCCGCTCGCTCGTCGCGCCGGCCCCAGCCTCGCCCCTCCCGCTCCCACGCTCGGTTTCGCATTTGGGTCCGGGTTGCCGACGCAGACCACTGGCGCGGCGGTGGCCGCCACCCCCTCCTCCTCGTCGTCCTCGTGCTGCTCCTCGTCATCCGCGTCACCCGTACCGCCCCCTCGCGTCAGGGCTCGGCCGTCCCCAGTGGTCGGCCTGATGGAAACGGGACGCGGCGGCGGCGCCAGGAGGGACGAGGGCAGAGACGATGACGGAGCCGCGGCCCGTGGCGGCGATGGAGATGACGGCGGCGATGGAGACGTTGACGATGATGACGACCTCCCGGACGATGACGAGTTCTGCATCCTGGAGGCCCCAGGGATTGGGATTCCGGTACGGAGCGATGGGGGCTCATCGTCTCGGTCGTGCGCAGCCATTGCGTGTGTGTGTCTGGACACGGCGGTGCAAACCTGTCGGCCAGCGCTAGCGAGGTGGGGGTTGGTGGCTCACAGAGGGAGATCGCTGAGTGTGGTGAGACGTCCAACCAGCTTGGTTGGAGCAAGTGGGCTTGTGATGCATCTGGGGAGAATCTTGATTGCAAGCCTCTTGTGTGCGTGGATTTCTCCAAGATCTCAGATTTCCTCCCACACTCAAAACACTCGAAACACTCCTCAACAGCCGATTTCAGAACCCTCCTGACAGGCGCTGCATGTGTGTGCTTACATGCGTATGCATTGGTTTGTGTGCGTTTATGTCAGGGTATAAATTAAACTTTGCAAATATTTTATATCATGACCTTCCAAAAATAGAAAGTTTGCAATAGGGCAAATAAATCAATATATTTTCTGCGATTGACTGAAGCATACTAAATATACACTGTAAAATCTAAATCAGTAGTTTGCTTAACGATGATTAATCTTTAGCATTATTTCCACAACTTTTCCATGGCAACAGAATTGTAGCATAAATATACAGGTGACTAAATTGGCAACATCAGGAAAGATTTGTTTTACCCTTTCTTGCAATAAAAAAGGTGTTAAGATGTTCAAACACCAAGTAGAAACCTTTGTCGAGGAATCATGTCTGCATTGATTAACCACGTACTTGTAGTGAACATGTAGACAAAAAACATGCTCTGATAATGTATGCATTGTCTTTGAATCGGATTGGTCTACACCAGAGACAGCCTTCTTTAGGACCTAGTCTCACCAGTGTCAGACCAGAGAATTGTCAAAAGGCGAACAGTCGGAATTCTCTATGGTTAATGCAGACATGATTCCTTGAAAACGGTTTATATTTGGTATTCTTGGTTCTTTCGGTAAAGTCACGTAGATAGAAAATAAAAATAAAATAAAAATAATAAATTGAAAATAAAAGCAAAAAACCCACGACGTTTCGATCGCAGCACAAGCGGTCTTCATCAGGCGGAGAGACAAGAGGGGAGGAAGCCTCCAAATGCAGCTGCTTCTTCTAAGGGCTTCCAAAGTGAGTGGGCGGGGGACTTTACCAAAAGAACCAATTATATACAATTTTTAAGTAAAAATTTATATTTGGTGTTTGAACATCTTAACACCTCTTTATTGCGAGAACGGGTAAAACATATTCTTATTTTTTCATACTTTGATATTGCCAAAAAAGGTCCCATGTTGGAAGGATATGTCTTGAAAAAATAGAAAATATTTACAACAGTACTCTTCATGGGCCAGGAATCAAAATAAATAGCTTTTCACTTTGTGCAAAAAACAGTCATTACGCTGTGATATTTGTGTTTGTACAATCCCAAATCAAAGAATAACACGATGATTTACGATGTCACCACAGGCAATGTGAGCTTGAACCATTGATAAGTAAAAAATTGTACCCCTTACAGAGCAATGGGAACCACAGAAATTGATAACGATACTCGCAGAGACCTGCAGAGAGGAATTCTCTGTAGGTTAGTGGCCTGTGTAAAGCTACATTTGGGGATCTCTACAATGTAGAATTTGTAGTGCACAAAGTTTTCGGGTTATCCCCTTCGAGTGACAGAGCGAGAAGGATTCATGGGTGTGGGTCGCCGCTGACAAGCACTGGGAAGATGGCCACACCCGGCACCAACAACCATTACCCAGGCTTTGTGGTCCTATAATTGGGATGTTTGGTGAACTCCATTAACGGATGTTTATACATGTGGGTTTGAAACTGGAGTTACCGTACAAAACTTACACGTGCGAGCGAGGTCACAATAAATCTAAAACAATTAAGCTCTGCGGTCCTATAATTGGGATGTGTGGCGCGTGTGTGGGGCATGTGGCACGTGTGGTGCGTTTGTTGCGTGTGGTGTTTGTGTTATGTGTGGCGCTTGTGGGGCGTGTGTGTTGCGTGTGCGCGCGTGTGTTGCGCGTGGCAGGCGCGTGACGGCGAGCCCGTTGTGAAGCGACTCGTGGAGGACACCATCGAGCTGCGGGATGAACATTTCTCACGGCCGCTGGGCCGTGCGGACGTGTTGCGGCCGCCCGCGCGCTTCCCCGTCCCGCTGGCGCGCTACACGCTGCGCGAGGTCTCCGTCACGTGGCACCTCTACGGCGGGCGCGACTTCGGACCCGCGCTCTCCTACTCCACGGCAGCGCACGCGTACGGGTGGGACGCACGCACTGTCGCCCACGCGGCTTCGTAGCGAACAATGTATCATCTTACCTATAAAAGGCATTCTTTGTGTGTGTGTCCGTCTGTCTTTGTGTGGATGCACACTTGCAAAAGATTTGGCTCGTGAACCATGGGGTTTACATTTTTAAAAAGTCGCGGGGTACCACGCTGTAACCCCCGTGGTGAGCCAGCGCTATTCCGTTTTCCCATCCATCAACTTTAAAATAGTTAAATTAACGATTTCGTGTGATTTTTATTATTATTTAATTATTTCCCCACTCCGCTCCGAGCGACACAGCACGCACTTGTGCATGCGCGAAACGCTGCCCGGGGATTGCCCCTAGCAACGCACACACGATCGCCAAAAATTATCATTCGCCTTAAAAAATTAACAAAGCGCTGAGGTGAATTCTCCCTAGTGTGATGTCCTCTTCTCCCCTCCCCACCCCAATGCTTGCAGTTACTACTATAGAATATTAATATTATAGCGCTTATATAGTATTATTGTAGCGCGGGCGGCCCAGCCTGCAAGGTGCCACCTCGGCCGGCTGGGCAATCTAGGCGAGGCCGCGGGCTCTGCACAGGACTAGGCCTCACCACGGCAATGTTAAGTACTAATTTATTGCTTCGTTCGCTAAACTAAAAAATAAGTTTGCTAATCCTATAATAGTAATGTTTGTGTGTAGACAGCTAATATTTCAATATTAAGTTGCTAAATATTAAGTTATTTTCATGTGTTTTTATGAAGCAGCGCCAGTGTACTGGCAGTCTGTAATGTGGCCTGTTGCCTGTTTATTCATTTATGTCAGTTCACTGCCAGTCTATTGTCTACACTGTTAATATTGCTTTAGGGCAGGATGAGTGTATGCCAGTCTATAATCTGTTGCCAGCTTCTTTACCTCGCTCGGTGTTCTGCCAGTCTTTCATGTAGACTATATCCTGCTTTTTAAGCTGCTGACCATATTGCCAGCTTATTATGTCGACTGTAGCAATGCTTAGGTCATTGAGTCAGCGTACTGGCAGTCTATAATCTAGACTGTATCCTGCTTCTTAACTTACCTGTGCGTACTGCTGCTCTATAATGTAGACTTATTCTAGCTTCTTCAATGCATTTCTATTGTTTCGATTGTTCACGTCACGCTATTTACTGATATGTAGTACTGCGATGCTGATTACTGTTATACTGTTAAATACGTTGGACTTTCTTAGCTACAGCCGATTACATTTCGTCTATCATTTTGTTACTTTGGTGCGAAAATCAACCATTTGAAATTTGGTTAACTGCACCTTTTTTTTTACACCCAAGCGGGCAGCACGCAGGGAGGTTCAATGCCCCAAATTTTGTTGAGGTTGCTGTTCTTACGGTGGGTGAGGAACATGGTAAGAGAGACATTGTGCTTCGATACCAAGACAACACCATCAAACGATTTCCTGAGACAAACCGAGCATATGATGCCCTACAATACCACATTTTACTGTCGCAAGGCCAAGATGGGTACCACATCCAGATTCCTCAAATTGTCAAAGCTACAGGACAAAGACATCCTCACAAAACTGTCTCCTCTAAATACTTCTATTCCTTCATGATCATGGACAGAGAAGGAGGAAACCACATTACGGTGCGCCAACCTCTTTCACCAGTGTGTTGTCGATGAGTATGACAAAATTGAGAGTGAGCGCCTTCTTTACATTCAACTGAATAAAAAACGCCTGCGTGTACCCCAGTATGCTCATCTCAGGGACGCTATCAATGCCGACGGATATGCAAACGCTCAGAATGTGAGCAGATTAGTTATTTTGCCTTCATCCTTCACAGCTGGACCAAGATACATGCATGAGAAGACTCAGGATGCCATGACGTACATCAGCCAATATGGCAGGCCCAATCTCTTTATCACCTTCACATGCAATCCGAGATGGAAGGAGATCCAGGTTGAGCTTTATCCAAACCAAAAGCCAACAGACAGACATGACATCTTAGCGAGGGTCTTTAAACTCAAAGTTGATGACCTCATTTGGCTTATTACGACTAACGAAGGCACCATCTTTGGAAAGACAAGCAGTAACTTGCAACACCATTGAGTGGCGAAAATATTGTCTTCCTAATGCTCACATTTTGCTATGGCTGAGGGAAAACATTCATGCAAGTGACATTGACACATTTATCAGTGCTGTGCTACCTGACCCCCATCAAGACCCTGTCCTATTTGATGTCATCTGCAAGCAAATGGTCCATGGCCCATGTGGGCAGTTCAATCCAAATTCGCCATGTATGCAAGACCGCAGGTGTACCAAGAAGTATCCACAAAACTTCTTGAAAGACACTCAGTCGGGCCATGATGGCTATCCTCTATATCGTCGCAGAAATACTGAGCATGGTGGATTTGAAACAACGCTCAGACCTGGCACTAACTCTGAAATGAAGGTTGACTCTTTGGTTCTTTTGGTGGATCGTTCCCTATTGCCCTCTTCTGTGCAAGATCTTCGAGGCCCACTTTATTGTGGAATTCTGCAATTATGTGAAAGCCATCAAATATGTTTGGCAATACATCATCAAAGGCTCTGACATGCCTGTCTTTGCCTTACAAAACAGGGGCAAAGTGTAAATGAGGTTAAACATTTTGTCCAAGGAAGATACATCAGCACCAATGAGGCCATTTGGAGAATTCTTGGCTTCTCTATCCATGAGCGTTCCCCCACAGTCGTCCATTTGGCAGTTCACCTCAAAAAAGGTCAACACATCTACTTCACCGAAAGAAATGCCCAACAACAAGCCCTGGCTCCAATAATACTACCCTGATGGCGTTTTTTGGTTTGTGCCAAAGTGATCCATTTGCTGACAACCTGCTCTTCCATTCATTTCCCTCCTACTTTACATGGACTGCTAAAATAAAATTGGAAGCGACGTGCTGCTGACGGTGAATCTGATGCCTTACGAAGAGTCTACACAGTTCATCCCAACAATCAGGAGTGCTACTTTCTCAGAATGCTTCTCCGTGTTGTCAAAGAGTTCAAATATTTCCAAGACCTCAAAACAGTGCCAGGAGTTGTTTGTCAAACATACAGGGAAGCTTGCAATCTTCGTGGGATTCTTGAGGATGATCAGCATCTTGATTAAGCTATGGCAGAAGCATCTGTTAGTCCCCTTCTCAACTGAGATTGCTCTTCTGCATACATCTTCAAGTTTGCAGCCCATCTAACCCCTCTCTGGCAAAAATACAAAGAGGCCATGAGTGAGGGCACCCTCCACAGAGCTCAACGAGAAAAATCCAAACCTCAACGTCAACTTTTCTCATGTCATCTGCAACCAGGCCCTCATCCTTGAGGACAAACTGCACCCCATTGGTGGAAAATGACTACCAACACCCTACAGGGACAACCTGTGTAATGCGGGCGTAAATGGGCGGGGCGGATATGACGATCCAAGAGGGAGGAGTCAGGGTGACGTGGGGGAGAAGTTATAGCGGGGAGACAGGAAGCTATCTGGGTCAGTCGGGGGAGTGAAGGGTGGTGAACACGTTGGGTGGTCGCCGTGCCTCAGCCTGGTGGCTGAGGGGCTCATGACGGCGCCAGCCAGCGGGGTGGAAGAGAGAGTGGAGGATTGAGGTAGGAAGTGGCGAGATAGCCATAGAGGCCACGAAGGGCTGAGGTAGGAAATGGCGAGATAGCCACAGAGGCCACGAAGGGCTGAGGTAGGAAATGGCGAGATAGCCATAGAGGCCACGAAGGGCTGACATTGGGAGGTGGCGAGATCGCCACGCACGGAGGAACAGGGAGCAGAGATGGAGCTGCTGGGGGAGCAGCCATAGGGCTGTACCAAGAGCCTGCAGCGGAGCTGCAGGAGCGTGGAAGGCTACGGGAGCGAAGGCAGATGTGGGGCTGCCAGGGAGAGAGTCTCAGGAGGAGTGCCGTGTGGGAAGGAGAACGCGAACCCCAAATAAAGGACACGGAGTCAGCAAGAAGTGTCTGAGTCCTTTTATTACACTGGAGTCAGAAGTGAAACGGCATCTCAAAACAACTGAGAGAAAGAAGAAATAAAAAATATTCCTGCTACATCATCCGACGACGACGACCTTCCTCAGACAGTGGACCTGCCTGCGATGGAAGAGGAGATCCGTTCTGGAACGAGTACGGGTCCGGGTGAGCAAGGTGTCGCCGCGTCGGTGGACCTGTCTGTGCCGGAGGACGCCAACTTACGATGGAGACAGATGGTGATGCAGATGGGGACCTTGAAAATCGTGCTGGCGCAACTGTGTGAGTTCACCACGCCGAGGACGACGTCGGGGAGGCCCGGTGGTGATCCGCAGGCCTCTGCCTTTCCTGCGCTGCCAGCGCCATTGCCACGTGGCACGAAGACGCCATCTTGGGCGTGGCAGGGGAGAAACGGCGGGAAGCCGCCATCTTGTCTTCACCGCGGCGGGAGGACGCCGCCATCTTCAACATCGCGGCGGAGAGGCAGCCTTGCGCTGCCATCTGGAGGTGCCGCGGGGTGAGCAGCCTGCTGTGAGCTGCTGTTTTTCGAGGGCGTGCTGCGAGGAGAAGACGCCGATGCTGCAGCTGCTGGGGCGGGAGCTTCCCGTCCTGGCTCGGGTGCGTGACAACGGAGCCGTCAAGTCGCCGAACGAGTTCTGCGAGGCGTCTCAAGTTGCCACCCTGCCGTCCTCTTCTTGCTGCAGCCCCGGGCGAGTCATGACGATACGCACCCGGCCTTAACACACACCTCACTCATCTTTCGAGGGCCGGGGGGCTATTTTGGTTTTCTCTTATGACTCGATTGTGCGGAGCGCGGTTCGGACTGTGTGTATGTGTGTGTAATAACGATGAACGCGCTATCTGCTTGTTGCTTGGTGTCAATGTAAGTGTGTGCGTGTGTTGAGAATGGACGGAGAGTCTGCTGTATTTGCTGAGTGTCAAATTGTGTGTGTGCGCTGCTGCGTGGAGTTGTTTTCTTGATGGTGAAGTTAATTATTAACTTGGGAGCGTCGGGTATCTTGCGCTGTATTATTTGTGGGTTACCTTGTGCGATGGGCTTAATTGGAAAAAAATATATATATATTTTTTTGGTGTATTGTGCTGCGAGGTGCTGTGTGCGATGCGATTGTTGCAAGAGAGAGAATAATTGTGTTGTTGCTGCAAAGTTACGACAGGATTAATGGTGTGTTGGTTGCCTGCAGATCTGCTTGCTATTGTGCTTAAATGTACGCGTGTGATCGCGATATGCTGATTGCATGTGCTGTTATACCGTTCTGTATGGTTATGGGGTGCGATGCAGTGGTTGACTATTGGAATTGAGATTGTTATTATATTGTGCGTACCTGTTGGAAATTGGTAACAAATTCGAGGGGGACCCAAATATTTGGTCGTATGGTTGTTGTGCACACGAGATTGAGTGTATATTATAGAGGGGGACCATAAAATTTGGTTGTATGGGTGTTGTGCACACGAGATTGCGTGTATATTATAGAGGGGGACCCAAAAATTTGGTTGTATGGGTGTTGTGCACACGAGATTGCGTGTATATTATAGGGGTAATTGAGCTTTTTGAAAATGAGGGTGCGCGATGACGCCGTTGTGGGTGTCTCAAAGGTTAATGCTAATGGGACCGTAAATTGGCGCCAAGTGGCGTCGCGTTTTCGGTTGATCGCATGCAGCCACGAGTTGCTTGGCGAGTTGGGTTGTGTAACCAATGTGGTTGGTAAAATATTGGTTAAAAATTCCACGATATGACAGCTGTGCGCAGCAAGCTGGGGCTGTGCGTCTATCGTTGGTGGGGTTGTTATAACGTGACGGGGGATGCGTCTTGTGACCCCCAGTTAAGGGAAGCTGGGGTGCACGAATGGAGAAAACTGGCCACGTGTTCGCACGTTGGGCCGCCATTTTGCGCGCACGCGGGGTATGGTGACGATGCGCTTTGCGGAAAGGGCCGCCATTTTGAGTGCGCGCGAGAGATTGCACGAACGCGCTGGGCGAAGGGGGACGCCATTCTTGAGCGCGCGGGAAAAACCGGGGTGGGGCAAATATTCCATCTGTTATGCCTGCCATTGTTGATTGGGTGATGCACGAGTTGTGGTCACATCGGCCTATGGCTGATGGCTGACCTGACAGCCCGGAGGCGAAACCTCCGTGGTATGTCTTAAACTAATGGGCCATGTGCTCATATGGCTCGGGGAGTCATGGTTCAGTTGTGCGGGGGCAGACTGAACCTGGTGTGCCGGGGGCTCACGGGATCTGGGTTAGGGTGTTATTGTCTCTATAAGAGAACATTGCCCCGTGGGGGGAGTACAGGGGGTCTGGCATTGCTGGGGGATGAACCTTCCCTGGGCTATAAAGCATCGGACTATACGAGGCTGGTGTGTGTCCATCTCTGATGGGATAGTAAGGGAGGAGCGTGGCCGAGTTGCTGCTCATCCCCGAAATTGCACTAGCTGAGAGTATGGTCAGTGGATGTTGCTGTGGGTTGACGACCACGGTGGGGGTTAGGGCGAGTTAAACATTACCGCTGGGGAGCGTGGCTCTCTCCACGCGAGGGTGTGCGATTAGGCGTTTTGTTGGGTTGCTGAGAGTGACCGTGGGTACATGCTGTGTACGTGCGATGTCTGTGCTGGTCCTCAAGGGAGGACTGCTGGTGGGTAAGAGCAGAAAATTTTGTTGTTGTTGTTGTCACGTGTAAATAATATTGTTGTTAAAATGTAAATACTGGGGCATCCATTGCGTTATTTTGGGTATTTATGGGGAGTTTTTTTTTAAGCGGGCTGGATTTACATCATCTCCACTACCCTGAGGCCGGGTGGCTGTCGTGTACGACATGCGGATGTGCGTTGTTGTGCTGTGCCTCAGGGGATTGGATTCTCCTTCTCGTCACAGATTCTTCAGCTCCCGTCGCACTGGGTGTTACCTGGTGTGCTAGCTGGATGAGGACTTGAAGGAGCAATTGAGCGCCGTTCGTCGTTCTGCTCTACCACTTGCTCTTTGACGTTGGACTTGAGCCGAGCGGATGGAACTGCAACATGGACACGCACTAAAACATCACATTTCTGGGTTGTGCGCGTTGGCCGTTCTTGCGTGTCAGTTGCCGTTGTTGTTCATTGTGCCATTCTTATTCTTGTTGTTGTTGCGCGGAGGACAGGCCGGTGTTCTGTTCCAGTTCCTGATACCTCCCCTTTCGTTGCTTGTGTTGTTGTTGTTATAATCTCCGTTGTGTCTGGGGGACTCCTGATTGTGATGCCTTCGCCCGCATTGTTTGTTCTGTTTCAGCCGAGGACGGCTGGAATTTTCTCTACGGGGGAGGGTAGTGTAATGCGGGCGTAAATGGGCGGGGCGGATATGACGATCCAAGAGGGAGGAGTCAGGGTGACGTGGGGGAGAAGTTATAGCGGGGAGACAGGAAGCTATCTGGGTCAGTCGGGGGAGTGAAGGGTGGTGAACACGTTGGGTGGTCGCCGTGCCTCAGCCTGGTGGCTGAGGGGCTCATGACGGCGCCAGCCAGCGGGGTGGAAGAGAGAGTGGAGGATTGAGGTAGGAAGTGGCGAGATAGCCACAGAGGCCACGAAGGGCTGAGGTAGGAAATGGCGAGATAGCCACAGAGGCCACGAAGGGCTGAGGTAGGAAATGGCGAGATAGCCATAGAGGCCACGAAGGGCTGACATTGGGAGGTGGCGAGATCGCCACGCACGGAGGAACAGGGAGCAGAGATGGAGCTGCTGGGGGAGCAGCCATAGGGCTGTACCAAGAGCCTGCAGCGGAGCTGCAGGAGCGTGGAAGGCTACGGGAGCGAAGGCAGATGTGGGGCTGCCAGGGAGAGAGTCTCAGGAGGAGTGCCGTGTGGGAAGGAGAACGCGAACCCCAAATAAAGGACACGGAGTCAGCAAGAAGTGTCTGAGTCCTTTTATTACACCTGCATGCCCTTGCTCAAGAGATCCTATGTGAAATATCCTATGATGGTCTAGAGCTTCTTAAATTTATTTAGGAAAATGAAGCAAAGCTGATGGATGCACAAAGAGAAGCCTACACGAAAAATTTTGAAGACATTGAGGCTAAAAATGGAGGCATTTTGGAGGCATTTTTTTCCTTGATGCACCTGTTGGTACTGGGAAGACCTTTGTTCTCAACCTGCTCCTCGCTAAGGTTCGCCAGAGGGAGAAAATTTCTGTAGCTGTGGCACCATCGGGGATTGCTGTGTAAGTCAATGTGTGTGTGTGTGTGAGTCAATGTATGTATTTGAGTCCATATGTGTGTGCGTGTTGGTCGATGTGTGTGTGTGGGTCGATGTCTGTGTGTGTGTCTTTTTTGCCCGGGCAACGCCGGGTACTTCCCGCTAGTAGGTAATATTCTTTGGGTCTTTCGGTAAAGTCACGTAGATGGTTAAAAGAAAATAACAAAAACTACGACGTTTCAATCACAACAGAAGCGATCCTGATGACGATCGCTTGTGTTGCTGGGTCTGGGGGCGTTGGTGGATTGGGATGAGAGAGAGGGGGAGGGGAAGCAGTCGGTCGGAGAGTCCACGGGGGGGCAGGATGACGCCGGCCGTGCTCCCACCCCCCGCCCCTGTAGACACAAGACGGGGGGCGGCATTCCGAGCCCGCGGGGGTCTCCGCACCGCGCCCCCTCGGGGTCCAAGCCCCCCCGCTCATCGTGGCAGACCCACGGGGGCCCTGCACGCAACCACGACGTGCTCATGGAGGTGCAGCTCAACAAGGTAAGTAACCCACCCCACGTGTTTCTCCCCCCTCCACTTGCCCTTCCACCCACCTCCCCACGTGCCCCCCCACTGCTTGCGTCCAATTCAAGGATTCTGACATGGCCGTTATGAACCTCCAGAGTTGCCTCCAGGGTAGACCCACACCCTCCCCCTCGTGTCAATGCCACTGGCTCTGCCTGCTCTCGATATCCTGCCACTCTGCCACTGGTCGTAATGTTGCATCACGTCCCGCTGCCCTCCCAGGTTCGGTTCCAGCACGAGGTGTACTCCGAGCCGCTCTCTGGCATCCAGCAGCTGGGTGGTGAAGGTGGTGGTGGCGGTGGTGGCAGAACTGCTGCTGCTGCAGGAGGCGGTAGCTGCCCCGTGTCGGCAGCGCCGGACCAGCCCGTGTCTCGCCAGGTGTTCATCGTGCAGGACCTGGAGGTCCGGGACCGCCTCGCCTCCTCGCAGATCAACAAGTTCCTTTACCTCTACACCAGCGAGAAGATGCCACGCAAGACACACGCCAACATGGTGCGCCCGTCCACTCGCCCGTCCACTCGCCCGTCCACACGCCCGTCCACTCGCCAGTCCACTCGCCCGTCCACTCGCCAGTCCACTCGCCCGTCCACTCGCCCGTCCACTCGCCGTCCACTCGCCCGTCCACTCGCCCGTCCACTCGCCCGTCCACTCGCCCGTCCACTCGCCCGTCCACTCGCCCGTCCACTCGCCCGTCCACTCGCCCGTCCACTCGCCCGTCCACTCGCCCGTCCACTCGCCCGTCCACTCGCCCGTCCACTCGCCCGTCCACTCGCCCGTCCACTCGCCCGTCCACTCGCCCGTCCACTCGCCCGTCCACTTGCCCGTCCACTTAACCATTCATTTGCCCATTCACTCACCCACCCACTTACTGTCCTCTCACTCAAGGCCAACAACAGTGGTGAATATATGAACCAGTCATGGGCCTCTACTAGGTCGACTCAGAATCAAATGAATACCTGGTTTTGTGTGTAAACATGAGCATTGGAGAGACAAAGGCAGCTAGGCAAGGTGCCGGCCACTCTCCCCATTGTGTACTGTACCCACCTTAATAGGTGCTCACTAACTACACTTACCCCAGCATTGTGGTAAAGGCTACATGGGGGATCTTTGTTTTTGTGTGCGCAGCTGACCCTGAAAGCTCTTCACCTGCGCCCAGAGAGCGGCCTCGCCACGCAGGAGTGCTGCCTCAGGGTGTCCCTCATGCCCCTGCGTCTCAACATCGACCAGGTGATGTGGACTTGTCCTTCCATCCCTTGGTTTGTCTGTCCGTCCATCTGTCCATTCACGGTGGCGGGATGTTAACTACGTCACCAGGTATACAGGAAGGAATAGGTTCGATCCCGACTCTGACGCCTATATACAGTATCACCTCACGAACATGTGATCTGCGATTTTGGCTATCCGTGGATCGCATCTGGAACTTTACACAACTGCATCGAGAGAGAGAGAGAGAAGGAAAGTGCTAAGATAAAATTATGAGAGAGAATATGATGCGAGAAAACTGATAAGATAAATTGATGAGATAAAGTTTGAGATAAAGTGATCAGATAAAGTGAGGAGACAAGGTGATGAGATAAAGTGCTACGTTCCTTCCCGGTGACGCCCAGAGAGCGCTGTTCCCTCCGTGTACACGAACGAGTGCTCTCCCCCCCCCCCGACCCCGTGCAGGATGCTCTCTTCTTCCTCAAGGACTTCGCGTCGAGCGTTTCGGCCGCCGTGGAGCCGCCCACTCCCGACAACGCCGCCGACGGTGAGTGTGAGTGAGTTCACCTCCCGACCCGGGGGTTGACAGCCCCGCCCCCCCCTGCATTTCCTCACATCCACCTCCCTCACTTTCCTGCCACTTTTTGATTTGGCGAACGCTTTTACACGTAACTGTCACGCAGTTAGAGCGCCAGATACTTGAGAAAAATAGGTACATAAATTAGTTTATATATGTCAATGTTCTATGTGAGTAGATGTCAGCCCCACTTAGCCACATAGCCACGTGACAGCCTCCTCCTCCAGCACGTAGCAGGGCAACCGGTCTGCCCAGCACGCCCTGACGCACTGCACAGCTGGAGACGATGATCTCCTGGCTCCCCGCATCTCCACGGTGGCGGGGCTGTCATGGAATACATGCCATCGACGTTGGGAAGTGGCATACACCCCCTGGTCACTCTGGAAGCGTGTCAACCGAACCGCTTCCTACCATTGCCCTCGCCTTATTTCTTATCACTCCCTTAATCTCAGATGCATAATCAAAATATGTATTTATACTCGAGGAATCGGATGAGCTATAAAGCTGTTTTGCAGATGTCCAGTAGGTGCAGGTTAGAACGTTACAACAACAAACATCTTATCGCACTTAGCTCACTGCCCCTCACCTCACCGTTTCCCTACCTCTCACCTCACCCCTTGCTGCCCTCACCTCGCTCCGCCCCCCACGCTGTCCGCACCCCCCCCCCCCGCCCCCCCCAGGCCGCAGGTCTCCGTCGGCGGACGGAGGGACGAGCCCCGCACGGCACCCGTCGCAGCCGGCGCCCGTCATGACGTACCCAGCGCAACCGCTCGCCCCCTCGATGCTCGGCCCCATGCCGCTCACGGACGCCCCAGCCTTCAGCGCCCCCGCTGGCGGGACTCCCTCGGAGGGCACTCCCGGTGATATTGGGGGGGGCGGCCCTCCCGGAGAGCTTCCCATCTTCTTCAGGTTCGTGGGGGTGGCGAGAGGGCTTGGTGCCGGCGGGGGGGGTGAGAGGTTAAGGGTCAGGGTGGTTGAGAACTTAGTGGCTGGAAAGGGTTTTCCGTCAGCAACACTGAGTGGTTTACTTCAATGCTGTCTGTGGGGAGTGGTTAGCGCGCTACGAACCTAGCGACCCGGGTTTGATTCCCGCTCATGGCCAACACCGGTGATGATTATCTGAACCGGTACCTGGGCCTCCACTAGGTCGACTCAGCCTCAAATTAGTACCTGGTGCGATGTGTAAATATCGCCACTAGGGAGACAAAGGCGGCGGCCGGGTGTGGTGTGGGCCACCCACCCCCTCGTGTGCCGTGCCGGCCTACATAGGTGCTTGCTAACAGCACTTGCCCCTACAGTCTGTTAGGGCTATATGGGGGATCTTTGTCTTTGTGTGCCTGTGTGTCAATGTGTGCCTGTGTGGCCGTGTATGGCTGCGGTAGTGTAACGATAAGCGCGCTGCGCTACGAACCCGGCGACCAGAGTTCGATTCCCGCTCACGGGCGACATTAGTGACGATTATCTGAATCGGTCCTGGGCCTCACTTGGTTGACTCAGCCTCAAATGAGTACCTGGTGCGGTGTGAAAGCATCACTACTGGGGAGACAAAGGCGGTCGGACGTGGTGCTGGCCAGCCACCCTGTCGTGTGCTGTGCCCGCCTACATTGGTACTCGCTTACAGCACTTGTCTCTACAGTCTGTTGAGGCTATATGGAGGATCTTTGTCTTTTGTGCTGCAGGGAGTTTCGCTTTACTTCAGAGGTGCTGATTCGCCTCGACTACCACGGCAAGCACGTGACGATGGAGCAGGTATGGGGCACGCGCCCACAAACATTGCCACCGTACGCACACTGCTGTGAGGAGGTGCTTGGTGAAAGAAATGGCTTCTTGGAGCAGGGAGAGGGTAGCGCGAGTGCTAAGTGGGGTGCCATGGGACCCCTGAGAAATATCGAACAAAAGTTTTCACGAATATTTTAACATTCGTTGACACCGAGTAGCAAACAAACTCTTAAGCGCCCCACAAAATTGTCTGATTAAAATTCAGTGTTTCACTTTGGTGCCCCCTGAGGGCTGTGGTTTTATAAAATCATCTCATGGCCCGTTCCTTTCTCTGAAGGCAGTTTCCCCAATCACTCTCAACCCTGCACCTCTCACCAACACGGGGCGCAACGGTGACGAGATGTTAACTACCTCGCCCGGTGTACAGGAGGTCGTGGGTTCAATCCTGACCCTGACGCCTGCTGTATATTTGGAGCTTGCATGTTCTTCCCATGGTCGCGTGGATTTTTCTCCGGGTTCTCTGGTTTTTCCCTCCACATTTAGAAACATGCTTTTAGAGTATTTGACTGCTATAAATTTCCACGTGATAAGCCACTTCGTTGAGCTATCATTTGTGACCAGGTCGCTATCTGAAAAGAGCTGTACAGTTCAGCGGGCCTTACCTGGTAACATAAAAAAGTTTATTAGACTAGACCAGTTTTAATAGTTTAACTCTTGCATTACAGTCTGCCGTTATGATGCAATGTGCGTTTCCCTAATTTAGAAAGCGTTTGATCTGCTGCTGCTCCACCTGATAGCTTGTTGTTGTTGGAGATTTGCATTACCCTGAACTTGTAGAGTGATTACATGCTTGCGGTTTTGAAGTCCAGGTGACGTTGTTGAAGGCCACGTGACGTTGTTCTTGAAGGCCAGGTGACTTTGTTGTTGTTGAATTCCAGGTGACGTTTTTGGCTTCAACAGCATTAGCCATCATGGTCTCTTTATCTTGAGCTGATTGCATTCGTGTGTGGACAGGCAACTGTGTTTTGATGAATTCAGATTGTAGGTATGTTATTTAAAATTGCACTGCGTGCATGGCTGTGTGTGCTTGTGTGCGTAATTGCATGTGCGCAATTGTGTGTGCGTGCATACCTGTGTATGCGTGCGTGACTGTGTGTGCATGACTGTGTGTGCAGTGCGTACATCCGTGACTGCGTGTGCATGACTGCGTATGGGAAGTGGTTGTGTAGCGGTTAGCGTGCTGCGATACGAACCTGGCGACCCGGGTTCGATTCCTGCTCACAGCCGACACCAGTGCCGATTAGCTGAACCGGTCCTGGGCCTCCCCTAGGTCGACTCAGCCTCAAATTAGTACTTTGTGCAGTGTTTAAACATCGTCACTGGGGAGACCAAGGCGACCGGGCGTGGTGTTGGCCACGCACCCCCTTGTGTGCTGTGCCGGCCTTAATAGGTGCTCGCTAACAGCACTTGCCCCAACAGTCTGTTAAGGCTATACGGGGGGTCTTTGTCTTTTTTATACGTGCGTGCGTGTGTGCGTGCGTGCATGCGATATGCAGGGAACATTTGCAGGAATCCTCATCGGGCTCGCTCAGCTCAACAACTCGGAGCTGAAACTGAAACAGCTCTGCTACCGGCACGGGTAAAGCACTGGCCCAGCTCCACTCGGCGATGTTTTAATGGATCCTTCAGTGTGTTGACAAGAATTATGATGTTTAGCCATCCGAGGAAGCCTCGCTTAGATTTGGTACTCAGGGTTCAGGAAGGTGCTGCATTGAGTGTTTTGCAGCCCAGCAGCTTGGAGAACTGGCAGTTCATGACAATGCGCGCGTGAGGGTGACAAGTGGCACATTGGTCAGCATGCTACGCTAGGAACCTCGGGGGATTGAGTTCAATGCGCAGCCAACGCTAAAATCGGTGGCAAGTGTGATTAAACTCTGTTCTGGTCGAGATGGTCTTCGATGAGTGCTGCTATATGTACACATCAACACTGGCAGATACAACGGTGGCTAGGCATGGTGCTGGCCACACACATGCATACAAAATGACTAATTCTCCTTGTAGCTTACTTGGGCCATTGGGGCAAGTGCTGTTAGTGAGCACCTTATAAGGCCGGCATAGCATACGAGGGGGTAGGTGGCCGACACCACGCCCGGCCGCCTTTGTCTCCCCAGTATTGATGTTTGCACACCACAGCAGGTACTCATTTAAGGATGAGTCAACCTAGGGAAGGCCCAGGACCAGTCTGAATTTTACCCACTGTCATTGGTCATGAGCTATAAAAAATAAACTGGTGAGACACACCACCTCCTTGCCTCAGCAGTCCATATGTCTGTGCGATTAGCTTGCTGGGTGTGGAGCGTCTTGTGGCCTACGCAGCGAGCGAATGGGTCAACGACATCCGCAAGAATCAGCTGCCCGGCATCCTGGGAGGCGTGGGGCCCATGCACTCACTCGTGCAGCTGGGTGAGACGAGCGCATGCACGCACACGCACGCGCACGCATGCACGCACAAGCACGCACACGTGCGTACACACACACGCACACGTGCGTACACGCTGCAGGCTTTCATATATGGTAAGTCCTCTCTAAACGCGTGGTGTTTACACAATGCGTTTTCGCTACATCGCGGTTCTTCCGTTTGTGAGCACTTTTCGCGCAACACGGAACGCGGAACACGTGCCCATTATAACGGGGTTTCGGAGCGGTCGACCACGAACTACTTCCTTGAGCTGCGTGGCTGAGCGGTCCAGTGATACAGTCCACGGAATGATACAGTAACGCGGCGGCGTAACCTCAGTTATTTGTCCCGCTATCTCACTGCGTTTCCGTACATCGTATCTCACCAAAATGTATCGTTACATTATTTACGGGGAAATAGTTTTCGCGTTTCAGGAATGCATCTGCCACGTTCAATGAGGACTTACTGTACTGGTGAACACCACACCCAGTCACCTTTGTCTCCCTCGTGGCGATGTTTACTGCACACAGCCCCAGGTACTAATTTGAGGCTAAGTCGATCTATGGGAGGCCCAGGACCAGTGTGTGTTGTGGCAGCCTGCTTGCCCGGTCCGTGTTACAGCGGTGTGTGTGTGTGGTGGTGTGTGGCGGTGTGTGGTGTACGCGGTGTGTGTGTGTGGTGGTGTGTGTGGTGTGCGCGGTGTGTGTGTGGTGGTGTGTGTGTGTGGTGGTGTGTGGCGGTGTGTGGTTTGCGCGGTGTGTGTGTGGCGGTGTGTGGTGTGCGCGGTGTGTGTGTGTGTGGCGGTGTGTGGCGGTGTGTGGTGTGCGTGGTGGTGTGTGCGGTGTGTGTGTGGTGGTGTGCGCGGTGGGGCGACGGCAGTGCAAGGCATGAAGGACCTCGTGTGGCTGCCCATCGAGCAGTACCGCAAGGACGGCCGCATCGTGCGCGGCATCCAGCGTGGAGCCGCCTCCTTCGGCACCTCCACTGCCATGGCCGCCCTGGAGCTCACCAACCGCCTCGTGCAGACCGTGCAGGCACGCACGCACGCGCACTTCGAGGCACAAAAGACAAAGATCCCCCTATAGCCTAAACACAGTGTTGGGGCTGTTAGCGAGCAGCTATGAAGCGAGCACGGGACGTGAGGAGATGGGTGGCCAACACCACGCCCGGCCGCATTTATCTTCTGAGTGGCGGTGTTTATGCACTGCACCAGTTGACATAAGGGAGGCCCAGGACCGGTTCAGATAATCGTCACTGGTGTTGGCTGTGAGAGGGAATCGAACTCGGGTCGCCGGGATTGTAGCACAGCGCGCTAACCGCTACACTACTGCTCCCCCCTGGACATACGCAGACACATGTAGACACACAGTCGCGCGCAAAGACATACATACACGCAATCCTGTCATTGTTTTAGTTATTTTCTCGTGTTGTTGGTGATGACAGAGTCCCCATGTGCTTCTGCCCATGGCCGGCATGTGCGTTGCAGGCGGCTGCTGAGACTGCCTACGACATGCTGTCCCCGGGGCCCAGCGTAGCCCGCAGGCCCATCGCGGGGGCCCCCACATTCCCCCAGCATCGCGTCGCTCAGCCGCCCGCCGACCTGCGCGAGGGCGTCGCCAAGGCCTACGACGTCGTCAGGGAGGTACGTGCGCACGGGAGTACGTGCGTGCGAGTGCATGAGTGGTGTGACGGTTCACGCTGTCGATTCCTAGCCAGCGATGGCAGCGGTAGCAAGTTGTATCTGTGTTTGTGTGTATTGTATGTCTGTATTTGTGTGTGTTTATGTGTATTGTATTGCTGTTTTTGTGTGTGCACATGGCTTCTTGCATGTGTCTGCGTATGGCTTCTGGGTGGTGGTGTGTGTTTGTGTGCATGGCTCTGTCTATGCTTGGTCGCTACTGTGTGTGGGCACGGCTCTGTGCAAGTGTTTGTTTGTGTGTGGCTCTCACGGCTTTGTGCACGTGTCTGTGTGCGCGCGATTCCGTGTGTGTGTACGGCTCTGTCTGTGCACAGGCATGACCAATTGTGTGTGTGTGTGTGTGACGAGGGCAGGGGGTGACGGACACCGCGCAGACGCTCTACATGGTATGCGCGCGGGAGCACGAGCAGAAGGGCGTAACGGGCGCCGTGGGTGGCGTCCTGCGGCAGATCCCGCCCACCGTGGTGAAGCCGCTAATCGTGGCGAGCGAGGCCACCGCCAACGTGCTGGGCGGCATGCGCAACCAGATCCAGCCGGACGCGCGGCGAGAGCACTCGCAGAAGTGGCGGCACAAGGATGACTAGCGGCGGTGGCGGGCGCGGGACGGCCTTGCGGGTGTGGGGGGGTGGGGAGTGGGGGGGCGACACGGGGGCAGGGACCAGCAGGTGCGTCCAGTGGTGAATACGGAGGGACGAGTAGTTGGGATGCCGCCATGCACGACCGGTGGGATGATGAGGAGAGGCGCAGGAACGACCGGGGGTGACCTGGCTCAATCTCCATCGGCTCGCCGCGACGGTCTACGAGGCCACCTCTTGGCCTCTCGGCTGGGCCCTTCCCCATGGGGGCCGATTGGCGCGGAGTGTTCGACTCCACGTTACGTGCCCGCTGTCTTTATCCGGGTTTTCCTGTGGCATCACCAACGGTTGAAATCTGTCGCGTGCCCACTTTTACAAAATGATGGCCCGGTACGGAATTCACCGGTTCTTTTAGTGTGAATCGAACCTTGGCCCTCCGTGCTCACCGGGTTCAGTGGAGATGGCACCGATCTATAGGCTCAAACCTGACTGCCCACAACCCGAGGTTGCTGAGAATGAGGACTGCCAATCGGCGGTCAGTAGGTAACCCCCTGTAATTATGCACTGCTGCGGAGAATCGTGGGCAACGCAAAATAAGCGTGATCTGTGTATATTGCAATTGACTCTGAGAATAGGTGCTCGCTAACAGGCACCCCTCCTGACGGCAGTATCCAGCTGAATGGGTGAAGTAATTGGCATCTGGCGCTGCCAGCCCCGATGTAGCACTCGCATTCAGACTGGGGCCATATTCGCTTTTTTTTAGGGTTGCTGGGTTCAATGAACGAAACATATTTCCTCTGCCCAAATAATGAAGAATATTATTATTAGACGAATTAAAGATAAGTGGTAAGGGAGTTTGGGTTATAGCCAGAGTGAATTGACGTTTGATTAATCAACCAATTTGCATTCCCGTTCAACGTGCACATTTGGTCGTTCATTGTTGTTAGAGTTTTTGTTTTGATTGCCAAGCAATTGCCAAAATTATTACAATTTATGATTTTGGGCCATTGCATTAGCATGAAGTAGGCTACCATGAGAGCGCTGTGGTGGTGATGATTACGACTGAATTGGTGGTTTTGGTGATGTCACAGGGTCTTCGGTGTCTGTACTCGCGGCAGATAAGACACTGTTGTTGACAGCGGTGGTGATGATGATGACTCAAGGGTTTGGGTTACCCGACAAGGCCTTGCTTTATGATGTTTTGCGTGACTTCACAAAGATGCGTTAAACTGTCAAGTGTTAGTTACAGACACTTGAATTCATATTCAAGTACAATACAAATATAATTTAGGTTAAATCTGTTACCCGGAAAAACCTCCCTGAGTCTCGTAATGACATTTGTTTCGAGATTTGGGGGAGGGGGGGAGTCTGCTTTTGGGTGCTTTGCCAATTAATTTTTTTATTTCTTTTTTTTTCTGAAATTTTGTTTGTGGGAAGAGGCCGGAGTTCCTGGAGAAGACCCCCGCACACACACACACGAGGAAAGAACACGCAAACATCGACGAACTCGTTGTGAAATCAGGGACCTGCTGCGTGATGTGCCCCAATAACTCACGCTTACGGTCACAGTACTGCTCACGCTGCTCCTGTATAAGCTTTATAGACGTAGCAATTAACACGCTCGTTTGTGGAGACGCTATCCGTCGCTAAGAAACGCTGCAGCGTTAACTCGTCCCCCTTGTGTATGTTGCTGCAACGTCCAGGCCCCAAACCCTGTCGGTCCTCAGCCCTGTGTCACGTTCATAAACAAGACTGTACCTGGGCATGGCTCACTGACGAGCCCCAACAGAGGCAAAGTCCAGACACGTCCCGCATTCTGCAGGCTTCCTCATGTAAGGTTGCGATATATTTCTTGGACGTTATACTGTGTTCATATTCCTGCTCAGCTTGGTACGCGGCTTGGTATTGAATGGTTCCAGTGAGCCTACTCGGTGGATACCAGAATAAGTTAAACATTAAAACTGCATTTTTTCTGTCGTTCAATGAAAAATAAGATGTTGCCTGTTGGTCTTCTCTCGGAAAGATCGGTTTTAGGAATGCTGACACAATTACCACGTCTTCACGAAGGCCATTCGTTCGGACATTGATGATTCGGTCCGTCGCAGAGAGCAGAAAATCACGCTTCAGTTGTTATTGGTGTTGAAGCAACATTGAGCAGGTGAAAATAATTAAGTGAAATAACTTTTGGCATTATGATATTTATGCCATTCGAATCACAAATGTTCACATTTAAGTCTGTGTACAATACATTGTATATTTGAGAAAAGCTTAAAGGAGTTAAAGTAGCGTGTGTAGAGTTCCCAAGACGTCTATGCAGTAGTCGAGGGGTGTGCTCGCGTGGGCCCGGACACGTGGCCATCGTTGAAAAAAAATGTTACACACAACAATATACACTTCAAAATAAATAAAAAGAGATTATAAAATACATCTTCATCTTGGTTTTAAAAACCGCAACGGCTTCACTGGATGGTAGTTGCGGTGCGCTCCACATCAGCAAGACATCTAAGAGCACGCGACAGCATGAACACCCTACACGCAGAGACACATGACCCACAACACCGGACTGAGAGTCCTCAAATTTGGACCTGGAACCCACAACCCAGACTACGAACCCACAACCCAGACTACGAACCCATGAACCTGGACCTGGAACCCACAACCCAGACTACGAACCCACAACCCAGACTACGAACCCATGAACCTGGACCTGGAACCCACAACCCAGACTACGAACCCATGAACCTGGACTAGGAACCCACAACCCAGACTACGGGAGCTGATACCAAATAATGGCCTGACATTGCTAACCCTGTACTTGATATACACTCTGTCAGATGACCACGGGGTTACAATAAGGGTGTGTCCACAGGCACGAGTGGCCACGTTGAGCTGTGCAAAGCCAAGACTTGCAATTACCGAATTTAAGTTGACTGCTGTAGGCAATAGTTGATGGTCAACACGAATGTTGTCATTTCCCCGGATGAGTCGAGTATCCGCTTCAATAACTAAACGTGAAAGAAAAATACAAGTTCATTGACGAAAACGAAGGACAACATGGGCGTTTATAAACCGTTAGAATTAAACCCGGAGAGAGAGAGGGGGCTGACTTCACTCAATGAGATGTTCAAATGTAGGATAGGTCGGGTTGTGGTGAGAACTCGCCACATTTAGTTGTCCATGATCAGCGCTCCACCAACACCGCCACAAACGCGTGCTTGATAACAGAAGTCGTCGTCGCTGGCTGGGGTTGCAAGGACGAGGTTGTGGGGTGTAGGTCACCAGCATCGTGTGCCATGTCCCGGGTGAAGCATAACAGACTAAGCTTCTTGCCCTACAGTAGCTCCCGGATTAGCAAGAACTTAAACAAAAATGTACCTAACATTTAAGTGAGCCAATCTTTATTGATTGTATAGATATTTAGTTGTTTGGGGGCTTAAAGGCGTAGAGAATTTCACACTGGTGTAGTTTCAGTAAACGGGCCGTGGTTGTCCGCAGCACGCAGCTTGACCATATAAAGCCAAGTCCTGGTAGAACAGGCCCCGTTCATGAGCTCGCTCGCTTTTTCGGCTGCTGCACACTGGAGCAGATCCTTGGCATGCGAGGATGGTCGGTTCTGACCGCCAAAAGTGTAATCTTGACTAAATTTGAAGAAAAATAATTATTTACCGAGCACTGAAACGGAGAACGACAGGTACGCCGACGGCTAATGACGGATTGGAAACCGTGAGGATCGGAATGGGACGATGTGCACTCCAGTGCAATGCGCGGAGCGGGAATGCGCGAGTGAGCGAGTTCCGTGAGCTGTGAAGGACGTCGCGGTGCAGCGCTCCGTTTCCAGTCGTGGACGCAGCGCGTCGGAAAGTTTGAGGACGTCCTCGCGACTCTGACTGTGGCCCTGGTCGCAACAGACGATGGCTCGCGTGTACTGCCCTGGCTGGCTCACCACTCGTGCCGGCTCGTGTACTGCTCGGGCCAGCTCGCTTACGCGTACCACTCGGTGGCCCAAGACCTCCTCCGTGGCCCTCAGGTGACGGCGACGGATGCTGAGAGGCGTGCCGTCCGGTGTCCGAAGGCTGGTATGCAGGAGGTCGTGAGTTCGATTCCAACCCTGACGCCTGCTGTATATGCGGAGTTTGCACTGTGCTTCCACTCAACAATAATAGCTTAAATAAATAAATAATCGCATAAATAATCGCATCTTTAAACGAGGCATGAAACCGACTCCGGAATTATTTCGGTGACCTGAAGAGTGCGGTGAGGCTCATTGTATCCCGTTGGGTGCCACTCTTTTTGCGACATTAAGAGCGGTTGTGAACCCGTTGCTCGTTTGTTTGCCGGTGAGAGCATTTTCGCCGAGTCTCGGTAGAGTCTCACGTTCAGAAGGGTCCCTGACAACTTTTCGCAGCAGCAGTCGATGTCCACACATGTGATCACAATCAAGCGTTGTGCGACCCCACCAATCCTCCAAGCAGGATCTGGCCTGCCAAGGAAGATCCTGGGGCCTCCTTGGATCGGGATCCGGGCGCTCCGTGGAAGATGTGGGGATACTTTCTCTATAAATGGAAAATTAACTCGAGTCCAGTGTGCGACGGTGGTGGTGCGACATTTCAGACCGTGAACGACCGCCAAATCGGATCATTCAACGGCGATCTGAAACAAATACACGCGCGGCTCCTCCTGAAGCTGTTGGATGGATATCAAATCCCGACATAAATTTGTAACCTGTTCCAATCCCCAACAATGCCACACGAAAGAAGGGAAGATTGGGGAGTTGTTTTTCTTCGACCAATACCCGTCGCATCGTGCGGGTTACGCAAAACGATATAACTAAAGTTACGAATTGGCTCCAGTGGGGTCACGCGATCGGCCTGCCGTCAGCAAGGGCAATCTTTAAATGCAGTGGAAATTGGCAGCCGGTTTCAATGTGGTAAAGGCTTTGTTGTGATTAATCATTCAAACATTAAATTTACCACGACGAAATACATCATACCTTGGTTGTGGGTTTAAAACTCCCCCCTTAAACAACAATAACAACCCTGCCTGAGTGGGCTCCATTTCGTCACCTCGAGGCCGTCGTGAATGATCTTGAGCGAACTGTCTCTGGGCTGGAGCTTCTTCTTTCTCGGCAGTGGAGTGGGCAGAGCACACGGCCCGTGGTAGCTGTGCAAGTTGCACAGCTGCCAATTCCCCTGCCATAGGCTGAGTGGACCAGCCTTGGGATGTTTGCGCCACAGCCTTCAATGGGAACATTCGAGTGATCATCTCGGGTTCTGTTGGGGGTAGTCGCCTGGCGCGTGAGTGGCGTCATTGAGTTGTGGCATGACGTCATTGTCTCTGAACATGGCTGCTGATCTCAGACACGAGTCTGCTGTCCTTATTCCTTGAATGGAGAACAGATTACACCATGACACGGCGATGTCGGTGTGATGTGACGTCCCTGATCAATTGGAGCGACCATTACCCAAAAATCTCACGTGTTTATTGCGGCTTTCTTTGGCTTGTTGCCAAATATCTTCGTGGCAAAACATTTACGAAATTAAAGAAGCACAATTTATTGACGGCATGCAAATTTACGTAATTTGTTGCGGTTTATTTTCATAATTTGGTAGCGGTAACTCACGGCACGACACGTTGGAGGTGTTGTAGGTTTAAAATTATGAAGACTCCGTCAGGCCTGTGTCGAAAACCGGAGCTGAATAACGTCCAAAGTGATATTTATTCATGCCGGAAAGACAGCAAAGCACAAAAATCGGACATTAACACTCGAGTACGAGGCGAAATTCGAGGGGAAACTAATATTGCGATAATCATCAAATAAATATATTCACGTGGTATCGTGATAAATTCAATCACGGCAACCCCAGTGATGTGCAGACGACGCAGGCGCATCAACGTTCTCACAGAATTGCAACAATTAATCATAATAAAGATTTGATTTATTTGGCTTAGATCGCGTAAGTATAAATGTGTCGTTAACCCGCCACCACCCGACACAGCCAACGAGCATCATCATAGTAAGGTTTGTCACGTAAACAAAATGTGACAATTAGTGTCTACTTCAGCTCACCGGTTGTGTGTTGGAGAGTAAATCCACGACATTTACTATTTGAGTACTGTGACCTTTCGCTGGTAATGACAGCCAGCATCGTCGGTCGATTTTGCCAGAATTGGGATAACGACAACTTTATATTTACGCGATCTAACCCCAAAAAGATGCCCCTTTATTATGAATAATGTTGGTCGCGAAAGCCTTCGTATTAAACTGCGATAATTAACATGAGGCGTGAAAACAAAACTAGGGAATGCATTGGAGATGTTTTAAAGTAATGTGAATAAAATATATGTACAGTGAGGGAAAAGTACGATTCACACCCGCCACGTTTTCCTCATTATCAAGACGCGTGCGTTGCCTTTGACAATGCAGCTGTGAAGCGCCATCGTGTTGACCACATTGCAACCATCACTTGGAGATGCTGCGAGGGTAGCGTCGAGAGCAGTGGTTCTTAACCTGGGGAGCACGCACCCCCTGGGGCTAACGAGACATGACCAGATTTGTTTAGAAGGTAAATCATGGAAACACAAATTAAGCACGGGCACGTGAGTACAACGACTTTCTTTCATCAATTCCTATGCAGCTATTAACATTAATTACATCACGATTGGGAACCAAAGGGGTGCAAGGCTGCAGTAAAGGTTAAGAACCACTGGTCTAGAGAGAATGGTTTCTTGCCATCATTGTGGCGTGGATTTATTGACTTGGGTGTTTCCAGCGTTGGCAGGCCCGTGGTTTAATCAGCAACGTGTGCGTTAGTTCTGGCAACATTTTCAGAAAAGTTGCTCCATGCAACCCCGTAATCCCGAGGCTATGCGTGCGGAGACCCGACACAGGTGCATGGGAAATGCTGCAACATCGATTTGGCTTTAAAGTTGCGATGTACTTGGAACCAATCGCACTTCTGAAGTACTACGGACAATTGGGCGCCGCGGTGGCTAGGAGATGTTAACTACCTCGCCTGGTATGCAGGAGGTCCTGGGTTCGACCCCGACCCTGAGGATGCCTGCTGTATATTTGGTCGCGTGGATTTTTCTCTGCGTCCTCCGGTTTTTTCCTCTACATTTCGAATCAACATCAACATGCGTTTAGATTATTTGGCTGCTATGCGCGATAAGCCACTTCGTTGAGCTACCAATTGTGGCCAAGTCACTTTTGAAAAAGAGCAACGGAGGTCAGTGGAGCCTTACCTGGTAAAATATAAAAAGACAGCTTAGTTGATGTACCCAGAAGCACGTGGCTCTCGGGCCGTGTGAACACAGCCTCGCCCCAAACTCGAGATGAGACGCAGACATGCTCACCCCTCCTCGTGCAGTCACCGCAAATATAATATTATTTTCTGTTATTATTATGGTGTCTTTTCTCTCTATACG